CCACATTATCATGTCACCCCAACCCTCCGCCAAACCACCGCTAACTTTTTTTCCCATGAAAAAACTACATATAATTGCATTAGAGTAAAGTTAGAAAAAGTATTACCTAGCTAAGATTTTCCAAAGTGCATTCTCCCTAAGTTGAAGAAAAAGTGGATAAGATCATAAAGGGTCTTGAATACTACTGTGATGACGATAAACAACTGGACCCTCCTCAATAGGCACAGACACGAATACCATTTACATTGGTTCCACACGGTCCATGCCTTGAAAGTAGCAAGATGTTGATGATAGAAGAACATCAAAATACTGATTCGCTTACACCTGGCAGATGATTTACGCAACTTATCAACAAAAGGAAGCCAATGTTCATGGCCAGGAAGTGTCACTGTTCGTTCAGGGCCAGAGATTTGTGAACGTGGACCCATAATTCAAAGATGAACCCCAGTCGAGCCGAACAAAGTGGACACATAATTGGTTGTAGAATTTGGCCTCAGAGTAAGCTTTACGAATAATTGGCAAAGGAGAGACATCATATCTATTTTATCCACCAGCCTCTGATTCCTGAAAAACCAACAAAATGCATTCTTTTTTTTTTCTTTAGTCTTCATTGAAGCCCCAGAAGAAGAAAAAATCTGCAATTCTCATATCTAATTGATGGGCAACACCCGTAGGCAATTTGTGAAAAGAAAGCGGATAAACCAAAACAGAGGACACCACTGATTTAATGAGTGCTAAACGTCCTGCTTGAGATAATAATTAATGATGCCTTCCATTGCTGCAATTTGGAATTAATTTTATCCAAAACTTCATTAAACAATGCTGCTCTCTGTCGCCCTAAATCAACATGTGTACCCAAATATTTTCCTAAACGATTAGCAAAATTGATACCCAAAAGTTTAGATAGCCTTATTTTAGTAGCATGCATGCGAAACATTCGGGCTAAACACCATCAATGATTTTCTTCTATTCGCTTTTTGACCAGCCAAAAGACTATATTTGTCTAATATTTGATTCCCTAAATTAAAAGATTGCTTATCCGCTCTGACCATAAGAAGAGTATCATCTGCAAACAGTAGATGAGAAAGGGCTAAAGATCCCCGACTCAAAGATAGTCCCTTCCACTTACCCTGCTGTTGTGCCTGCAAAATCCAAGAAGAAAGAATATTAGCACATAAAAATGTTTAGATAAAGGTGAAAGTGGATCGCCCTCCCAAATCCCACTCCGAGGATAAAATTCTGGTGAAGGACAACCATTAAGCAACACTTGATACGAAGCCGCCTGCATAATCAACTTAACCCAATGACAGTAAAAAATATGACAGTAGCATTTCTGTAATTATAGGCGTACTTTTAACGGTGATTTTTTAAATAACCGCCGTAAAAACACTTTTAACAGGGGTTTTTTAAATAACCGCCGTAAAAAGTCTATCAGAATTTTAAAATCTATCGCGCGATAGTTTTCACTTTTCAGAGTTAGAGCTCATAGTCCCCCATACCATCCTCACTCGATTTTCTCCCTCCTCCTACATTTGTCGGCGTTTGTCCATTGCTTCTATCATTTTCGCCATGTTCTTCCATCACCGTCGCTGTTGCCGTCGCCATCGCCTCATCCTCTTCATTTTTATTTGTGAGTTTTTCACCTCCATTCTTTCTGTGGATTTCATAGTTTTTGTGGTTTGATATGATTATTTTCTTTGGTTAAAAATATGATGTTTAATTTGAATTTAAAGAAATCTGATTTTTAGCATATCTGAGTCTTTGATTTTATCTTTATTAAATCTTAGTGGCTTCGATCTGGTGGCTGGAGGTGAAGCTAAGTGACGCTATTACGGCAGGAAAGAATCTATATTTGCTCCATTAGAATGATTTTAACTGGTGAGAGACTTCCTTTGACGCTTTGTTCTCCCGTTCCATCCTGATTAGTAGGGTGAAACTAGACTAAAAAAAAAATTTAACCGCCGGGAAAAGTCACATACTACGACGGTTCTTAAACCGTCATGAAATCCTCTATATTTTACGTCGATGGCATAGACGTCGGTTTCAAAACTGCCATAGAAAGCTCATTTTAACCGCTGTTAAATGTTTTTTTTTTGTAGTAGTAGTAGTGTGAATAGGAAAACTCATCTTCAAGATTTCAACATGTAAAGAAGACCAAGATAATTTATCATAAGCCTTTTCAATGTCTAACTCGATGACACACCACCCTTTCTTTTGTTTCCGAAATGAACCAAGCTTAGCCATAACGTCACTAACCGCCAAAATATTATCCGAAATGAGTCTTCCGTTTCTGAAAAGGCAGAATAACATCCTGAAGCACAGGTTGCAACCTATTACAGAGAACTTTGGTAATAATGTTGTACACGACATTACGTAAGTTTGTGGGCCGAGAATCATTAAAAGATTGGAAAACCTTGCCCTTGGGAATTACTGAAATAAACGTCCTATTCAGTGCAGGAGGTAAAGATGCAGTGACAAAAAATTGATTAACAATTTGAAACACATCATCTTTTACAAACTGCCAAAGCCTTTGATAAAACCGTGCATTAAAACCATCCGGTCCCGAGGCCCCATCGGCACCGCTAACTTTTTGGAAAGAAAATTAAAAATCAAGAAAAACTATTTGCTGCAGCTCTGATATAAACTCTTCTTCCCCCACCTCGTAGACGATTGATCACTCCCCACTATTTCCTTAGGTCCAAGGATCGGGGAACATTTATTCAAGAATTACTCCCTCTGGTACTTATTACTCCTCGGATTATTTAACTAATTTAATTAGATTAAGAAAATTAGGTAAGTTAGTTAATTATAAGAAATATGATATGTTCTTCCTAAAATAACACAATCATCTTCCTTAATATCCCCTCTTTCTTTCCTACTTGATTATGGATGAGGGAGTATTAATAGGGATAATTTAGAAAAAATTAATAAATATGAGAAATATATCTTATATTTAAGATCAAAATTAACTCAACAATTATGTTTTGCATTAAGCACTGAAAGAGTATAAGTTTTAAATAACTAATTCACAGATAACGAATAATTAATTAAAATTAGTTAAAAACAATAAATATATTAGAAATATATTTTTATTTTCAAATATGTCATTATAATAAATAAGAAAAAGATGAAAAAGAATGTGTCGGAAAAAATGATAAGAGATAAATAATCAAAGACAATATTAGAAAAAATATATTCAATGTTAAGACAGACCCAAATCAAAACTCATAAACTGGACCACATCCCTTTTCAAATTTAAAGTTTATAAATAAGACTAGAGGGAGTAATAAATTAAGTTACAGACTTGTTCCCCTTCCCACGTATGGTAGTTAGTTAGGCTTGTTAATTAAGCTCCTACTTGTCCATGGAAAAAAAATCATATATTCATAATAAATTAAACATAATAATGCAATAACCAATGAATATGAAATAATGATTTTGTTTTTTCCTAGACATAAGCATTCTTCTATTGAAGGTAATTATATTTGAGATATTGTCAAGTGCTAAATGTCAACGTCTCTTCTTATGAGAATTTGAATCTTCATTTGCTATATTATGAGGGACTAGCTCCTTTCTTTGAATCCAATCCTAAGGGTCATAGTATGAGGGGAATGGAGGTGAGGAAAGGGAAATAAAAATTTTAAAGAACTCGATTTAAGAAACCAAAAATATGAGGGCTAAAAGTTTCTAATTAATTTTTATTTCTCTTTTATTTTACATCTTCTTTTTATTAAAATTGTAAAATTCCACTTCTATAATTTTTTAAATTGAGTTTATTAATATTTTTTCTCTCCTCATTTTTTTTTCTATTTTTCTTTCATCACACATAGGGTAAAAGTCACTCATTGACACCGAAGGAGGTGTTGATATGGATTGGGCCAGGAGCGGAAGTCCCTCCTGAAGCCGTTGGGCCTGGGAGAGCTTTCGGACTTGACGGATTCTATTTTGGGCCTAAGCTCCATGTTTTGAAATAAACAATTTTTTTAATCATTAATATTAAAAGTTTAAATATAATTGCAAAATTTTCTTATATTATCAAAATTTGAAATTTTTAATCCGAACTTTTGAATATATGTGCATATATGTAATTTTGGATATATATATATGTATATATGCAAAGTTTTAAAATATAAACTACCAATTATTTATATATCACTCTCAAAAAATTAAATGAAATTTTGTGTGTATCATTTAAACTCTTTTCCCTCATCTTTAATGTTAAAAATTGAAAATTTATTTAGTTATGAAAATTTCACACTAAAATGATAAATTATGAAAAATAAAAAAATTGAACTAATATATATTATTATAATGACATGTCATCTTTCACCCAAACTTATTACTAATTATTATAATAATTTTTACTAATTTTTCAGTTTTTTAATTCGGAGCATTCTATAAAATAAGAGGAATGGAATAATTTCATATTACATATTTAATTATTAAGGAGATCTAGTCACTTATGAAAATTTTTGACCTATTTTATTATAAATTGTAATTAATTTTTTGATTTTATTTAAATCAAAAAAATTAATTTTTTGACTTAAAACTTATTTGAAATACTACCTCCGGTCCTTAATATATGACCTTGTTTGACTTTTATTTTGATCCTAAATATAAGACCTCAATCCACTTTGTCTTTTATATTTACTCAATTTTTTTAAGATAATCTTTCTAATAATTATAGTTCTAGTTAATACACTTGATTAGTAAGGATATTTTAGGAAAAACAACATTTATTTAGTACAAATAACTAACTCAACTTACTTTCTTAATCTCCTCAAATTAGTTAACTGGTTCTTATAATTAAAAGTAATTTATACACAGTTTTTTAATTATAATTTATAAAATACAAAGTAAATATATATGAAAAGTTTTGTTTCATCTTACATCAACGCTAACATGAACGTGTATATGAATCTTGAATCAATCTCTTAGAATTTTAATCATAAGTTGATTGAAATTGGAGATCCCAAGATGTCATTCCCCTTCTCAAGATCCTCAATTTACCTTTTTCGAGTGATTTTGTTAAATATTCCAGTTTTATTCCGAAGGGACTTTTGTTCCGTATTCCCCCCATAGGCATAGAAACAGAACATCTGTGACAGCAAATGAAGTAGCAAAATTAGCTCAATCCAATATCGATCTGATTTGGCTGAAGTAGAAGAAAGAAATACCGCTGGCAAGAAGAAGAAGAAGAAAGGAAAACAGAGATAGTTTGAGACGCGAAGCCTTATCTGCCCCAGCTTGTGTCCGTTAAATGGAGCTTCTGGCATTTACCAGCTTTGAGGCAATTTCTAAGGTTTCATTATTCCCCTTTTCTTCCAAACAAGTTTTGTATGGAAACTCTGTTCGTTGCCGGAACATTGGGTTCCTATGGTGTCGAAATTCGAAATCTTTTGCTGGAATCACCATGAGTTCAGATGAAGATTCCTTATCAAATGATTATGGACTAAGACAGAGCCTTGGAACTAAATCTGGAGCTATCGACGTGATTGGCATTGGCAGCAGAAAGGACGCAGTTCTAGATTTCTGCTTAAAGTCGCCTTTTCAGCTATCGTCGCTGCGATTTTGGTAACCCTCTATTTTTAATGCTTCTTCTAATCATTTTCTGATGATTTTTCGTTTGGACTAGTGAAGTTGGTGAATGTTTGTCAAAAAAAAAAAAACAAAGAAAAAGAAAAAGGATCTGTTGCATGCAAAATCTATGTGCAATTTGTGATGAGCTTCTTCTTAGATGCCCACTTTGTGAAGAAGTTCATGGCAGTTGTAATGATGATAATCTTGTTTGAAAGGTTCACTTCAGTCACGTACATAACTGCTAACGTGATGCAGTCTCTGTCCTCTGCATAAACTATCCTTGAGCATCGAATGGAAAAGTTGTTTTTTTTTTTTTTTGGGTTGCTTAGAGATGCCCCAGTTTACCGACCCAGTAAATGATCGAAACTTTCGATGTTATTTGAGTGTATGGAGCTTCGGCTTCCATTTTTGGAGAAGGTCCATCCTCTACCTCATGGTCCAACCATCCTCGATGGTCGTACATGATCTTCTATGATCTTAGCATATTGTAAAGTCGCATATACGTGGATGCAGCTCTATAACATTCCTTTTCGCTTTTGCAATTTATTCTGAGAAGTAATGTAGAAAAGCATTAGGTTACTGCTATATATAGTCTAACATGTAAGAAGTGAGTCAAGTGACTAGCATTTTTAGTTCTTTTATTCTGCCAATTATCAATTAATAAACAATCTCATTGGCAAAAAACTGTAACTAGTTTTAGCTTGTTAAATATGTGTGTTAGTTCGGATGAAAAGAAGTGGTCTGCCGATGCCTTGAATTAACTTTTAGGTGTTAAGATGAGCTATGGTTTGTCCAGCCTCTTTGGACCATTTATGAACAATCTGGTTTAGAGGCATTATATGTAATAAATGAGAGTAAAATTCCTTTGAAAGTGTGCTATTTTTTCCTCCTTGTGGTTGCTGTTTTTTCTTCTTTGGGTGAATCTATGGATCTGATGGATTGATGAGCTGTTTTTTTTTTAGCTTAGTTTTTCTTTTTTCCTTGCATGTGGAGTATTTTGTATTCTTTTTGTACTTCTCTTCATTTTCTCTTCGTACTTATAGAAGTAGGACTTTTTATATTCAATGAGTGTCAACCTTTTGCAGGAATATTCTCATGAAGGAATCTCAAGAGGTTCAATTACAACTAAGGTCTTATGAAGAAGGTTTTGCTCTATATCAGTACTGCTGCCATTCTTTTTTCTCCCATTTATTTAAGCTGTCTAATCTTGCATGCTATCTAAGTGGTCATAAATGTGTGATTTCATTTCATTCTATGATATGAAAATGACGCTCATACTAGAAGGCAACTTATGTACATCCTAACCTTTCAAAAAAGAAATTACAGAACAGGATATCTTGAATGGCTTTGTTCAAATGAATTTTGGCTATTTCAAAATCTTTACATTTGACGTTTTGTTCTCTATGGTTAAGGTATTACACTGATATTTTTCTGTACTTCTGCAGATTCTCTTCCAAGAATTGTCAAAGCTCCATTATTTATGAAGTCATGCTCATCGACTATTATTCTTGTTTGTACATTCCTTACCTTAAACTCTTGTCGTATGGATCTGAGTTGCAATAATGTTAAATTTAATCTCTTAAGCTGCCATCACAAGGACTATTATCTGTTAATTGAAGGGATACTATCCTCCCTATCATCTAGAGATGTGGAGCTGTAGGGCATGAGCAACCGTGTGCTTGAAGCCTACAAAATATACATTTCTCTTTCCCTTGCTCTAAAGTTCCTAATTTTTATTGAAAATAATACATGGATACTTAATATTATATATAGATAATATATGAGTTGTTCTTTTTAGTTTCAGGATCATATTTGTCAAATTCCTCCTTTTCTTTGTAATAATTTTTCCCTATTTTTGCTTTTGTGCATAAAAGTAATTGCCCAAATAACATTTATTAAGTATAATACCTACAAGTGTATTATAGGGTTCTTGCTATAATTTGCCAGAGTGGCTTATATGGCCCTTTTTTAATCACTGGAAACTATTTATCAACAACATTCTGTTTCCCGGTATTAAGTTTCCCTTATTTTTATTTTCTAGGTAGCTAGTGCAGGATATGGATCAGACCACTCTGTTGCAATTGATGTTTTCAAAACTATAAAGTCATCAAATGGATTAACTGTTGCTATTATCTTGAAGCCTTTTGTCTTTGAAGGGTTGAGGCGACAAGATGAGGTAATATTTATGCTTAATATAACAAACTACGCTGCACTGATATAAGAGATTACTGCTGTCAAACAACCTTTCATTATGATGTTTAAAACATTTTTGCCTCCAAGGAATTGCATGGCGTGTTGTAATGATGAACATTTCTATAGTCTCAATTTTTCATGAAGCAGTATGACCTTTTTTTTTTTTCGGGTATGTTTTTAGAGGCTATTAGACATCTTAGATGTTAATTGCCTGATTTATTCAATTGGTCATTCATTCATCCTTTGGAAATTAATTTTGTTTTATAATTATTTTTGTGATATAATCAGTGTGCATGTTAGTAAGCCTTACTATAACTCGAGAAATTCTACAATCTTTGGGTAAACGAAGAAAAACTATAACTGTTCTCTCGTCAGAAACTGGCTCCAATGTTGTTCTCCAACTTTATTGTGTCTCCAGTTGATGCCCTTTTGTTTCCTTTTATGTTTCTCTAGCTAGAGTTTCCCTTGTTTCCCCAGGAGGCCACTTGAAGCTTTGAGTGGCTGCAAAATACATGGCCATCTAAGATCATGGTCACCGAGTACTCTGGATTTTAAAGCCAAATAAGTATTTGAAAATATAACATATCAATAAGCGACATTGTCTTATTTCGCTTTAGTTGGAATATATTCATGGACTCTCTGAAATGGTGCTGGGTATTTTTCATCTGATCCATATTCACATCAGCATTACTTGGAACCTGCTTCATAGCTTTTTGGAATCTTGCTAACCAAGTTGCCTCTGCCATGGTCCCGGGATAATGAAATTGCTAGAATATTTAATTCTTTCACGCTAAAAGAATTCTTCCTCTTTCATGTAAATTAAGAGAAACTTAAACACACGGAGTCAAGAGTAACTGCATACCTCATTGATCAATGAATGGATGTACAATACAGCATTTTGCTATCTATGGGTTTTAATCTAATTCTGTTACAATAACTGCTCACTGATTTTAACTGACAACAACTACAATCAACTAATATTCTAACATACATTTCTACTAATGTGTTTTCTTCTTACGTCTATCATTTTTCAACCTTCTGATTTGTTGCTGTATCAATGCGTGATAATATTTTTATTTGTCATGACTTACAGGTCAAAAATTTGGTAGAGAAACTAAAGGAGAACACAGATTTACTTCTTGGTGAGTATATATAGAATGTCTGGCGGTGCTTTTCTGGTTCCCTTTATACCAATATTTTAAATTGATGCATAATGAACCTATCTATTTTGTCAGTGACTCCATTCACTTTATTCTCGTAACTCCTCACCTTTTTCCCTTCTCTGCTCACAATAGGAAAACAAATAATAGTCGCTCAAAAATTTATCAATAGGGAGGGGTTATCAGAGTGGATACTTTTATAATGGCCAGAGCTTGCCAGGTCTATTGTAGGTGTAAAGATAGTAGAATGTGAATCTTCAAGTGCTTTAATAGTGCCCACAGAAGCTTCTGGTCTAGGATGGTAACAATAGTTCTGAAGTGGTTGAAGGGTATTGAAAGAGGGCAAGTAAAGTGAGCTAGAAGAGTGTCACAAAATATTGAGGACGAGAAAAAGGAAGCTTTTAAAGACTTCAGCAGAAATTGTAGATTGGGAAAGAAGGATAACATGGGTGGTTTTATGGACAACAACAGGCCTTATCCCACTAGGTGGGCTAAGGCTTCGGTGATTTTATGCATTGTAAATTAAAATATGTATTGAGAAGGGAAATATGTTTCTTGTATTATTCACATTGAGAATGAGAAAATATATACACAAGGGAGGAGCCTAGGCATTAATGGCTCATTATTAGGAGATAATATCGTATCATATCTAATCTGATCCTATGCTATCATATCTGATTTCCTATACTAATTACAATGATATTTCATATCTTTACACTCCCCCTCAAGTTGGAGTATAGATGTCAATCATGCCCAACTTGTTACAAAGATAGTTAACCCGAACCCCATTTAAAGCTTTAGTGAGGAGGTCACCCAGCTGATCACTGGATCTCACATGTCCTGTTGAAATGAAGTTTTCCTTGAGCTTATCCCGAACAAAATGACAGTCAATCTCGATGTGTTTTGTGCGTTCATGGAACACCGAATTAGATGCTATGTGTAAAGCTGCTTTATTGTCACACCATAGTTTTGCTGGTAATGAGGTTTTAAGACCAACCTCCTTCAATAATTGATATATCCAGACTATCTCACACACAGATTGTGCCATAGCTCTATATTCTGCCTCTGCACTTGACCGTGACACCGCATTTTGCTTCTTGCTCCTCCAGGATACCAAGTTTCCTCCCACAAAAACGCAATATCCTGTAGTGGATCTTCTAGTGGCTTTTGAACCACCATGATCAGCATCACAAAAACACTCAATATCTATGTGACCATGATTTCTGTATAATATCCCGCGGCCTGGGGACCCTTTCAAGTAATGAAGTACATGTTCTAAGGCTTCCCATTGTCTGACAGTAGGTGAGACCATAAACTGGCTAAGTACACTGACTGGATAGGTGATATCAGGACGGGTCACAGTCAGATAATTCAATTTTCCAATCAATCTGCGATACCTTTCCGGATTCTCAAACGGTTTGCTCTTAGCAGCATCAATGGGATCCTCAACTGGTATGCTCCCATCAGCATCAAGCAATGGATTATAAACCATAGGAAAGCTGTTTGGTGCAACCCCCAGCTTCCCCGTTTCCTTTAACAGGTCGAGGACATACTTCCTCTGTGTCAATAGTATACCTTTCTTACTTCTCAAGACCTCAATTCCGAGGAAGTACTTCAATGGACCCAGATCTTTTGTTTGAAAGTGAGAATTAAGAAAGGATTTGAGTGATGAGATTCCTGAGGAATTGCTCCCTGTAATCACAATATCGTCTACATACACAACTAATAGAATCATGCCGATGTCTATTCTCTGATAGAACACAGAGTGATCACACTTGCTTTGACACATGCCAAATTTCTGCACAACAGTACTAAACCTGTCGAACCATGCTCGGGGACTCTGTTTCAGGCCATATAAGGATCTCTTGAGATGACATACTTTCCCACGCTCCCCCTGAGCAACAAAGCCTGGCGGTTGCTCCATGTAAACTTCCTCAAGAAGATCACCATGCAAGAAGGCATTTTTGATATCCAACTGATGGAGATCCCAGCCATAAGTGGCTGCCATAGAAATGAAGAGACGAACAGAGGAAAGTTTTGCGACAGGGGAGAAAGTCTCTGAATAATCTACACCATAGGTCTGAGCATAGCCTTTAGCAACCAAGCGAGCTTTAAGGCGATCAAGAGAACCATCAGCACGGGTTTTAGGGGTGAAGACCCATTTACACCCAATAGCCTTCTTCCCAGCTGGTAAATCAACTAAAGTCCAAGTGCCAGCCTGGTCAAGGGCCGCCATCTCCTCCTCCATAGCTGCACGCCAACCCGGGTGGGCCAAGGCTTCATGAAGGGTCTTAGGCACGGAGACAGAATCTAAGGAAGAAACAAAGGCACGAGAAACAGGGGAGAGGTGGTTATATGAAACAAATGAAGAAATAGGATGGGTGCAAGTACGTGTACCTTTACGAAGAGCAATGGGCAAGTCAAGGGAAGGGTCTGGTTCAGGAACCGGAGGTGTCTCAGGTGTCGGCTCAGGATGCAAGATACTCAACTCAGGATCTGATGACGAAGCAGATAATGGAGGAGCAGAACCTGGTGCAGTAACAAGGGTTTCCTTTGAACGTCTTGTGTAAACATGAGACACAGGTGGTTGTGCAGGAGGCTGAGCAGGAGCCGGAACCGGAGGTGGTGGAGTTGACAGTGGGACAACAGGATATACTAGAAGGTCATCCTCTTCCGCAGAGGGAGGAGGTACAGGAGAAGTGGAAGGAGAAAAATATGGAACGGATTCCTGAAAGGTGACATCTGCAGAAACAAGATAACGATTAAGAGGAGGAGAGAAACATCGGTAGCCCTTTTGAACCCGAGAGTAACCAAGGAAGACACACTTAAGAGACTTTGGATCTAATTTAGAGACAGAGGGTCGCACATCTCGGACAAAGCAAACGCACCCGAAAATCCTAGGATCAATGGGAAACAAAGGTTGGGAAGGAAAAAGAGTAGTGTAGGGAATGGCACCATCAAGAACGGAAGAGAAATATGTTTCTTGTATTATTCACATTGAGAATGAGAAAATATATACACAAGGGAGGAGCCTAAGCATTAATGGCTCATTATTAGGAGATAATATCGTATCATATCTAATCTGATCCTATGCTATCATATCTGATTTCCTATACTAATTACAATGATATTTCATATCTTTACAATATGCAAACAGATTTAAGTGACCCTTGTTTTTGGGATTAACTGACCGGGGATTGAAATTGTTGATTTAGACTATTAGTCAATAGTCAATGATATTGTGTTTTTCGTTATTGCAAGTTGATGAAAAATAATTTGAGGTAAATAGAGAAAGGAAAGTATAATTTGCTTATATTGATTCACTGCTTATTGATTTTTGGCACACAGAAATTGATATTGATTCACTACTTAAAAAGGACTTGGTGACTCTAGATGAAGCTATGAAAACTGCAAATGATGCGGTTTTGTTGGCCATTAATGCCATATCTGTTCTCAAATCCGTAAGTTTCGCATTTTCTTTTTTTCTTTTTTTCCTGGTTGTCTAGAAAATAATCATATGGTTACATCTTGGACATTTCTAGGAGATGCACAGGAAACTTACAGATGGTCTGGACACTGGTGGCATGAAAGAAGTCAGTAATTTGGAAATTAATAAAGTAAGATTCTGAGATCATTTTAGGCCTTAACTCCCATACAAATTAGTATCTTTGTTTTTAGCATTGTTACACAACGGAAACAGAACCAAACATTAAATTTTACTTGTTTCCCCTTTCTAGAACTAAGTAATATTTTCTGTTGTTTCCGTTTGCAGATATTTGAAAGCTATAAGGAAGCTAGAATTGGATTTGGAGCAGCATATAACATGAAAACTTCAATTCTACAGTCTTTATTTGATTGTCCTTTCCTTGGTGTTAGTTTGAAGGTATAACTCAGAATTAAGTGGCAAATTTTCTTCATGTGTCATGAGTCATGATGATACTCAATGGTGTTGTTCCTTCCATTGTAGTGTTTCTTATAATATTCTTGGTGCAAATAAAGTCATTTCATGACTAGTCCATCAGTTTTTGTAAACATTTTGCATCCTACCATTTGTTCAGCGTATCATTTTAGTGGTGTATCATACAATATTATAATTTAATTGTTGAAGTCATATTTCAAGTATGATTCTGCTCTGTGTGTGTGTGTGTGTGTTTTGTCTTACTGTTAATTCATTGCGATTTAATTAAATAATTTGTGCATCTCACTTCAATGTTGCAATGTGCCATTCATGCCCCATGGCTCTAGGAGCGTCTATTCGTCAATTGTGCACCATGCATTATCAGCAACTATGCTAAATATTAATTTCATCTTTGTCTGCATGCTTTCTTCTAGTAATATATTAATTTGTTGATTATTATGATCAATATTTTTTGTTTAGGACTCAAATGGCATGATTATATGCAATCTCACAAGTTCAGTTCATATGAATGACAATGATATCGCTGCCTTTCTGCATACTTTCCGTCAAACAACAGGATACACAAAGGAAATAATAATAACTACAGATCATGAGCCTAATCTTGAGCCAAACCTGCTGATCACCACTGTTCTTACACTGGGGTAAGTATACTACTTAGTGGTTTTAATGTATATTGCTGAACTTCATTTTCAGTTACTTCTCCATGGAAGGCCTCTATCCACAAGAGTTTTAATTGAATGTATACAGAAGCAGAAAACTTTGATTTAACAAATCACTAAGGATTTAGGAATAAAACTAGGATTTGAAGAGGCAAATCACTAAGAATTTGAATTCTTGATTATTATTACAAATTTGATATCGAAAAATATGATCTAGGACAGTTAATGGTTCTTTAGCTTTAAATTTGATCATATTCTATCAGCTGTGAGTGCGCTGGCTTTCTGAAATTGAAGTCTTGGGTGACATTGTTGAGAAACCTTAAAGTTGGGACTTTAAAGGATGTGGAGTTTATCATTATCTGGACTATTAATGTTAAATTTTGCTTGGATGTCTGTCCAATCCGTATGTTAGTTAATTTTTTTTTAATGCACATGAATTTTTTGACCATTTCTGCTAGGTCATTGATCACTGTAACCTGTGACACTGCTGGTCATTTATTGATAATGTTGATGGGAATGATTAATGAAGTGTATCAATGGCATAACTGTTGCTGTTTTGCTGTACTGTAGTCTATGCTGCCAAGTTTCTGACTAGGCAAAGTTGATTTGATTTGTTCCATTTGATTAGCAGCATTAATATGCAACAGCGTTCCCAGAGTGGTGGCATGTTTTCTAGACTGGCCCAGCATTTTCCTCTTCTTTGCCGCTTTTGGGGGGGACATCAAAATGAACCAGCTGACTCTAGGAAAGAGAATTTAACTGGAAGTATAGCTCCTTCTCAAGTGACTAAATTATATGAATTTAATGATGGGGATAGAATTGCTTCTGATGAGATAGATGAGAAGTTTGATAAGGATTTTGAATCTCTGGAGCCAACTGTGGGTAATAAAACTGTGAAGTCAAACGAATCAAGGTTACTTCTCTCTCTAGTTTGCTTATTCTTTTTGTTTTTGTTAACTTCTAATGGTGCTTGTAAATGAATGGATCTTTGTTTTCCTCTGCCATTTTGGCCAATTTTAGGCGTTCTGAACAAAACAAGGGAGAACAATTTGACACAAGTTCCGAGTGTTCCAGCCTTAACGATGAAATTACTAGAGGTAACTTAGAGACACTGGATGGCCAGAATCTAAAAATAAATAAATAAATAAATAACGGCTTTGAGACACTGAAATATTTTATTGTTTTGCATTTCTGCACTGGGAATAAATGTTTTTTTCCTCCCCTTCTATTAAACTTAAATTATATCAGGCGACTCTGCTTGTCGAAGGGAGAAACTCATAAATTGGAATCTTGGTCCTGGATATGAGGTTGCACAGGAGTGGGCCAAACAAAGGGCAGCTGATGCTACTACTCCAACAGCTGATAATATTAGCATCTTCAACCTTCCTGTTGGTATCAGATCTTCAGAACAGTTAAAAGACTGTCCAGAAGTCTCTGCGGCACAAGAGCCAGCGACTGAAAACGATGTCAAAGTACCTAACAAAAGCATGTCCTGGAGTGCATTGACTGATGCAGGTCTGGAAGTAGTGGTGGATTTTACATCTACTCTTTTAAATGGAAAGTATGCAGACAAATCAAACCAGCAAGGGGTTCTTTCTGTTCGAGCAGCATCCATGCTGGAAGCAGAACGTGATTCATCCAAAAAATGGATCCCACTTGTGGAAATGCAATATAGAGGAGGTCAATACAAGGGACGATGCCAAGGAGGTCTACCTGAAGGGAAGGGGCGACTTGTCCTCAGAGATGGAAGTATATATGATGGTACATGGCGCTATGGTAAGAGATCAGGTCCTGGCACATTGTATTTCATCAATGGCGACGTGTTCCAAGGATCGTGGAGGGACGATCTCATGCACGGCAAAGGTTGGTTTTATTTTCACACACGGGATAGGTGGTTTGCAAACTTTTGGAAGGGAAAGGCAAATGGTGAAGGCCGTTTCTACACAAAGAATGGGGATGCCTTCTTTGGAAATTTTAAAGATGGATGGCGACACGGGCAATTTCTATGCATCAATGCAAAAGGAAGAAGGTATATTGAGATTTGGGAATATGGTGTTATTGTAGAAAGCAAGCATTTAGACAAAGATGACGTTCAGGTCAAAAAAGACAAAGATGACGGAGAAGAATGAATGTGTATCTAAAATTACGTGATCATTTTAATTTCTATTTGCTTGTCTTTGCTGGTCCTATGATTTTTCTTTCCATTTTGTACAGCAGTAGTTACCATGTCCCTGTCAGTTTGGGTCAGTGTTTGTTAACTTCATCCGTATATTCTTTTTCTTCCATCAAAGTGACCAGCAGATCAGAATTTTTGTATGAAATATGAACATTCGTTTCCATTTTCGAGCATTATCAAGTATGAGTACATACATGTACCGTAGCAGTGTTGTTATATGATATCCGCATCTTTGCCCTTTTCGCTTCAAAGAGTTTGCTGAATGACCTCTGCATCGCAATTACAGTTTTGGATTATCTATCGGAAAGCGTGCTTGATTGGCCTAAAACAATGGATAAGGCCTTAAAAAAATTGATGATATATAAGCTCCTTGCAATTTAGACCCCCACATTATGAATTGGAGTATAATCTGCTGGTAAAAAAAAAAAGAATTGGGGTATAATCTTTATGGTTGCTTTTCTGTCGCAAGCTTCTCACACACACCAAAGCAGAGGACACATACTATGACACTTTACTTTGTTCTTTATCTCACAATAAAGAAGCGTAAAGACAAGTTAGAACTTACAATTCTTGCTTACAAACAACTGAGCTTCCATCTACTCTGAATTGTACCTACCGCGCAAAATTTTTTTAAAAACATTATTATATTCAATCTTAAATGTAAAGTTCTTTAACTAATTCATAGAATTGGAAAAAAAAAAACAAGATAAGAAAGTTGGTTATTTGTAACTAATATGTAAAGAATTTTCAACACTTTTTCTAAAAGAATATTGTCATTTTATAATTAAAATCTATCGTGCAAAAATTAAAATACCCCTATAAATGAGTATTACAATCAAGAAAAATCTAATATGCAGGATAGGAGAAAATGAAACCTTATATTTTGAACCAAATCAAAATTCTTAAATAGATTTTATATTTAGAACTAAAGAAATTTTATAAGAGAATAGCAATAGTATTGTATATAGGAATACATACATTAAGGAAGACTATAATCCACTGGCTTGAGATAATCGATCTTATGAGGGGGGTGACTTATTTATGCCAATTGAATTAAATATTTCTAAGATTCGTCAAAAAATATTTATAAAAGATTGTTTGTTGATCTCAATTACTCTAAACTGAGTCCAAATCGTATTGCTGGGAATAACCTGCTGCATTTAATTCACTATATAATTTGTTCAATCATAACCATGACATTATTTCCACCTTCCTTGTGATCGAAATTATTTACACATCAATAAACTAAATTGTGCTACTTTCAAGGCTTTTGGATTGTTATAACTGCCATGACACTTGCAGTATTAAAACTTTTTTATTCTCTGTATAATTGAATTTTCATTTATCAAGCCTGCTACTTATTTTTCAAACTTAATGTAACAGTCCTAATTATAAGAGTTAGTTGACTAATTTGAGGAAATTAAAAAAAGAAATTGAATAAGTTATTTGTAATAAATAGATGTTGTCTTTCCAAAAATATCCTTGCTAATCAAGTGTATTAGTTAGAATTATTATTGTTAGAAAGACTAACTTTAAAAAAAAATATAAATATGATAGACAAAGTAAATTAGAATCTTATATTTATAACTAAAATAAAAGTCAAACAAAGTACCTAGAGGTAGTATATGGAAACAGCTGACAATGGAATCTAATTAATGTGCTTAGAAATCAAAAAATTAAATACATTCACAATCAAAACAAATCTTCATATGGAAGCATGCATTATGCTTCCAAAGTCCAAACAAGTATTCCGGGGAATAATGAATAACAAATGTTTCCTAGAGTTAATAAATTCCAAATATAAAGCTATATACCATAGCAATAACTATAATATAGAGGAGAATTGAGAGAATGAATTGAATTTGGGGTGACAGAGAGAGATCATATATCTCTCGAAAGTTATTTTTAAAGAATTTTTATTTGGGGACTCCGGACATGTCTTCTCCTTCTTCATGTTTTCTACATTATACGCGCTTGAACCAAAATTCAACATAACGGAGAAGAGGTGAACTGATTTATATCTCTGACCTTGTCATTAAGATCCTGCGTTAATTTTTGCCTGAACAATCCTGGAGAGTTGGACCAGTGCAACATCAACTGCGTCTTTAAATCCAACATCACTTGCATTGGGATGAGCATATGTCAGTCTGGGGATCATCTTTATCGCAGTTTCACGCATTCTCTTCACTTTCTCGCTCGGAATCTTCATTAGTTCCTTCTCTATCGTCTTGCTTCCTTCTCCTTTCTCATCAATATACACCGAATATGTCTCTTTTTCCTCCGCCGGCAGATACCACGCATACTGACTGTACGCCGTGTGCGGCGAGAAGAACACCGGAATGCAGCCGGCCAGCACCGAGTCGAACGTCGAACGCCGCGTGAACGAGTCGCCCGGCGCCTGCAGGCAGAACTGAGACTTGGTCATCACGTCAAGCACCACGCTTGGTTCATGACACTTAATTCCTCCGCCGCCGCCGCATTTCAAGAGTTTGCACCGTGTTGACTCCTCGCACTGCCGGAGAATCTCCCCTCGGATCGCCGCCTTTTCCAAGCCTTTCCTCGGACCACCGACGAAGGAAAACAGATAAGGTCGCTCCGATTCCGTCATCATCGTCTGCCATCTTTCCAGTTCTGAAACCGTCGTCGGATGAAAATAAGATGGGTAAGGAATACCATACTGGTTTGACCCCTTCCAAGGTTGCCTCTCCACAGTCAACACCGACATGTTTTGGACAGGTGGAAGGTTGAGGAGGATGTTGGCGCCAAAGTCTGGTCCATGTTCTGACCTCATGAAATCCCATGCGGTTCTCCCCAGGGCAAGAAAATGGTCCTTACCATTGTGCTTCTGCCACGAGGGCTGATCTTGTAGGTACCGGACAAGATCAACGGCTAGTTCATCGCGTAGAGTGTGGTTGGCCTCGCGGAACATGCTGGAAGCGTGGAGCCCACCGTAAAAGGGTACGTAGAACAGGTTAGCTTTGGTTGGGTCCCGCGTGCGGCAAGGGTGATTCTCCACGCGCGCGTGGATGATCATCTCGGCGATGAACTGGTGCGTGGCGAACCAGGCGGCGGAGGAGAGGGACATGTAATTAGGAATTGGCTGGCCGAGGCCGCGATTGGCTACGTGAGGGCACATGTTAGTGTATATGTTGAGTTTTTGACAGTGAGTGAGGAGGCCGAGGTTGAAGCGAGAAGGTAAATTGTAGACATAAACTGATACAGTGCCATCATCACAATGAGCTTGCGGGGGTAATAGCTTTCTGGTGGCATGGGAGGCAGCGGCGGGAGTGGTGGCGGAGGAGAACGGTGTGAACCAGAAGAGGAGAAGGAGCCAGGAAGCAAGAAAGAGAGAAAGGAGAAGAGTGTACCTTAAGTTAGGAGTGAGAATGGGATGGTGGGGGTCTTTGAGTTTGGAGAAGCTCTCTGATTTGAAGGTCCATGGCGGATGAACTGGGGAAGGCTTTCTGAAAAACATGAGATGAAGAAGGAGAGAGAAGAGAAGGCTGTGTATGTTTGCGTGATGTCCAGCTAAAGAAGAGAAGACTGATATTTCTCATCACGAGAAGGGGAACGCATCAAATTATTTGTCCAATTAATACCAGAGCTTTGAAAATTAATGCATAAATGACAATGATAGGTGGGGTGGGGAGCTGGGGAATTGATGGAAGAGAGAGGCATCTGCTTTTATTTCTTTCACCTTAACTTGTTTATTCTTATACTCAGTATACTATTTATCATCTTATTTGTCAAAATAACAATATTTTTGGAAAAAAAGACTTATAATTTTTATATATTTATTGTCTCTAATAAATTTTAACTAATTTTTTTTATCGATACGATTTAATTAAATGTTTCTTATAAAAGAGTTGCATTGAACACTAACTATATGTAATTTTGGTTTGTCATATTAAAGAGCTAGGATTCATCTAACATCTTAATATAGTAATATTAAATAATATTAAACAGAAACATTAGATGTGTGATTAAAAATTGGTTCAAATTATTTACAATAACTCAAATAACAAAAGATATTTTGGGGGGAGATGAGGGGAGAAGAATAAAGACATGAAAGCACATGCAATAACAAATTAAAAATGGAAAAGAATACAAATCATGCGCCAATGAAGGGGGTGGCGAGTTGTTCTTCTTTTTCTTGTAGGAGAAAAAAAGTCAAGGAAGGATGGCTTGAACGAGACAAAGTAGAGAAGGATACAAAATTGAGCAAGCACATGCAATTGGCTTAGGTGTCACAAGCTGACAATTCACTTCCTACAATTACTACCTAATAATGCTTTGTTTATATTATATTTTATATATAAATATATATATAAACTATATATTCATTGCTGGTTGGTGCTGTGTATATACATACATATATAAAATTCAAAACTAAAAGAAAAGTGATGTAATGACGACCAAAACTTCATAGCACACGAATCAAATGTGGACAGAGGAATGTCACAGCTAAGGATTTATGGGGACAAGAATATTGCCATATCATCATCCCCATTCTCAATCATATATGTATATATAGACTTGACCAATTTATTTCAATTATTATGAGTTTCACTACATGATACTACCTCTGGTCCTAATTACAAGAGCCAGTTGACTAATTTGAGGAGATTAAGAAAATAAGTTGAGTTAGTTATTTGTCCTAAATAGGTTTTGTCTTTCCTAAAATATCTTTGCTAATCAAGTGTATTGACTAGAACTATCATTGTTAGAAAGGTTATTTTGAAAAAATATATATAAATATGAGAGACAAATTGGATTGGGGTCTTATATTTAGGACCAAAATAAAAATCAAATAGGGTCTTATATTAAGGACCGGAGGTAGTATTTCCATTATTAAATCCCCTAAATGCATTTATATATGTATTTATTTTTCAGGGAAAAATAAAAGACCCAAACAGTTGGCGAACTGTATATAAGTTTGTGTATTATTGGTATAGTTTTATATTTTTTTTAACATTAATTTTTATGGACATAGAGATTTTTATACTAGAATGAATATTTTGTATCACTTTAGCTCAAATGACATCAATTAGTACTCTCTCTGAAATTTTTTTAAAGTGAGATTGTAAGTTTAAACTCTCTAAAGAAATATAAAAAGTAGATGAGCTGTGGAAGGAAAAAAAGTGGAATATAACAAAATGGGAAGATGAGTGACTGGCCAGTGGAGGCAAAATGGGAACCTGTTGACCTTTTATTTCCTTATTGCTTTAGAATAAGGGGCCGTTTGGAGAGAGAAATAGTGTCGGCAGTATATTAACACATTTTTTGCGAGCCCCTTGCGTAGTGCCTGAAATAGTGAAAGGTGCGTCCATCATGGGAGGGCCCAGCTACCATCATTACCATACCATGTAATTAATACAATTTAATACTCCCTCCTATTTTTAAGTATAAAAATTAGTTAATTTGGTTATCTATAATAAATAAATATTTTTTTCTAAAATATCTTTATTTATTATGTATATTGGCTAGAATTATTATTATTATAAGGACTACCATGGGAAATAATATTTTCGGAAAGACAACATTTTTTTATTATAAATAATTAACTTAACTTATTTCATTAATCTACTCAAATTAGTCAACTAGCTCTTATATTTAGGACCGGAAGCAGTAGAATTTAATACTACTTCTGATTTTTAATGTAAAAACTAACTAGTTAATTTAAATAGATTAAAAAATCAGTTAATTTGATTATTTGTAATAAATAAATATTTTCTTTTCTAAAATATCCCTATTTATTAAGTGTATTAGCTAGAACTATTATTATTATAACGACTACTTTGGGAAAAAATAGATAAATATGATAGACAAAATGAATTAGAATCTTATATTTAAGACTAAAATAAAAATCAAATGAGTTCTTATATAAAAAACAGGAGGTAGTATAAGATCCATTGTAATTTAATAAAATATTTATGATTATTTTAAACAATTGTATCTTTTAGTTTTATTTTAAAAATAATGGTTTTTGTCATTTCTCCTCTCTCTCTCTCTCTCCCCCCTTATTGAGTTATATTAATCAAACGGAAATTTTTCTTAATATGATGAGAATAATTAATAAGACCTTATGAGAAGAACAAGAGAAAGCAAAATAATATAGAGCTTTAAAAAATGGTACAACAATCCCACCATGTCAATTACAATATACTTAGGTAAAAATAAAATTCCATGTGTGAGGTTTAAAATTAGCTTATCTCAAAATAGAATATAATTGAACATGTGTGATTGCTGCAAAATAGAAAGTTCGGATTATTTTTAGAATAATACAGCCAATTAATTCCGACAAATACAAATAAATAATAGCATTAAAGAATTTAATTGACTGTTTAGAAACTGGGCGGCTGTTGATTAATTTGGAAAGATAAAAAATTAAATGAATTATTTTAAAATACTTATATTTATTGTTTTTCTCCAAACTAATTTGTTTTACTTATAAATATGCAATCTAACAATACATAAATATTTTAAAGAGATTATATAACATATGTTTTAATTAAATAATTTATTTCGTTTTCTTAATATTTTGGAATTCCTTAATACTTTTTCTTTTTGCCAGCGATTTATGCCCCTAGTACAATTGATTAATCGGTCCCATCAGTATTGGATTATCATTGAATTGCCATCATAGATAGCACGTTACAGTAATCAACGACCTCGTCGAAATGATCGTACAAACTCGTTCATCGCAATTAAGAACTTAAGACCACAGTGACTCACAAAACAGGCTTGATAGGAGAAGCCCATTTATAAATGGCTAACGTACGTATGTAGGATTCATTTGGAAATCACCACAAACATATTTTTGTCTCATAAAATTTTTAATTAGTTTTACACTATACAAAATAAATATACTGCCTCCAGTGTTTAATATAATAGCAGTAAATTTTGTCCTATAAAAGTGTAAATTTTTTTCAAGTGACTAGATTTGCCAAATAGTAGTCCAGTCGAGTATAATTGAGGAGTTTTTGTTCGCTGCCACGTTTGTGTTGCCTCAGTAGTCGCACTCCCATCCTGAGCTTCGCGATTTGCTAATGAACCCCAACCAATATTCATCATTCTTTTTTTCTTTCTTTTTTTTTTTAAATAGGCATAGGTGTCGAAAACAATCTTGTTTAAGACACTGTCAGACATTAAATATGAGTACTTTTTTTGGTAAAAATTCAAATATTAACTTATCACATCGTAAGGAATTAGCTTCTTCCATTAGATCTAATCCTGTTAGTTCATTGTGTTCTTTAGAATAGATCAAGATTCATTATTAACCCATCATTCATAGGGTAAGGTTCTTCATTCCTAGGTCTCCTTGGCTGTTTTTTTTTGGGAGCTATTGTCTTACACAAACTAATTAATAGTATGCATATATGGAGTTAATGTGATTGAGTCTATTGAAATTTGATAATATCAGTGTTTGATAATATGGTGAATTAAAATTTAAATTCTCAATAAGAGATGTGTCTGTATTTGACTTTCGATAATATCTTGACCATAACCGTCTCTACTAAGAGAATAATTGCTACTAGGAAAAAAAAAAACAAGAAGAAGAAGTATGTATATATGCGGCATTTTCATCTCATCATTAGTACTCTAGAGAAGTTAAAAAGCTTAAAATAATAACTTCCTCTCACAAAAAGAGTCAACAATGATACATGTTGAGCCTAATGAAGTAGTTAGCTGGAAATCAAGTGTTAACACTAATGGACAGGGAACATAATTGGACGGTTTGAAGGCAGAAAGGGATGCTTTCCATGCTCAGATCTGATCATGTTGACAAGCATTTTAAAATTTTAAGAGATGTTAGAGCATCCAATGTTGTGATCAAAATTTACGGTATCAACTTCTACCAAAAAAAAAAATTTACGGTATCAACTATCAACTAACAACACTAACTAAATGAGAAATTTGATTTATTTTCTAAAAAAACCGTTATAAAATATTCTTCAATATAAACATTGTAATTATTTTTTTAAAAATAAAATAACATTCAATGCATGAGAATAACACGCATTGTTTATTCTTCAATATAAACATTGTAGTTTTTTTAAAAATAAAATAACATTCAATGAAGAGAAATAATGATTTTGGCTCCCAGCATGAAATTCATCTGGGCGTTGTGATGCTAAACTTCAGACAAATTTTTGCACTGGGGGGGGGGTCCATTGATCCAATAAAAAAAAATAAAAAAATTGCATTCGAGGGCGTCGTGCTCACGGCGGGGACAAAAATGTCACTATGGCTTTCTTGTAATCTTTCTGTGGAGCTCCATTGCCGATCTGAAGATCCCAGCGAATCTCACAAGTGAGCAAGACAGCGACAACGAGCTTCTCCCAGAGCAACAATGGCATCGGCCTTTATCAAACTGGATGATTCCCCCATGTTTCAGAAGCAGGTAAACTGGCTGTGCAAGATTCGATGTTGCGTCTATTCTCAATTCCAATTTTTGATCACTCTTTGGCTCTTGTATAATCCTCATTAAGCATCATTTGTTGGTCTAGTTTTTAAACCATGAACACGCTTTTTTGTCCGTATTGTGGCGCTGCGATTCTGTCACGTACAGGCATGGCCTTCTTATTTCTTGTGCTTGAAGCTCGATGAGAGGTGCCAGTGGCTGCGACGATGGTTGATCTTTACCCCTCATAGCTTCTTATATTCTCAGACGCCTCGAAGTTTCAATACATTTTTGTTAAATATTATTTCATGGGAAACCATGAGGAAGCAGACCGTTGTTCTTCGTTTGAGCTAGATTTCTGGGCAAGTAATGGTGATTAAATACCTTGTGGTTTCGGAATTGGAAAAGAGATTTAGGACTGGATCTGCAATAAGTCTCTGACATTGTGATTAGAGGAAAAATGGAGAGTGGGAGGAAAGAAACGTATAATGCATAAGATGAACGTGCGACGCCTGGGGACACGATAGGTATTTCATTTGTGGTTTATTTTTGTTCATTTCTGAAAACAAAAGCCAAGACCAGACCGTTAGCTAGTTCTTTTTGCAATATCAAAGTTGCATGTTTTAAACTATGCTAGGCTATACCCTCCAACCAAGTCGTAAACAGACGTCTGCACTTAAACCAATGTGGTGTGTGAAATAAACATAAATGTAAACGGTTCTACATATTTTAAAATCCTGGCAAAGCGATGGCCAAAAAATTCCTAGCTTTTATTTGTTACCAAACTGTTATGGAGTTCTAAAAGATCTAAACTCAGATTTGTAAACCGTTGTAAACCAAAGACATTTTAGAGAAAGCTGGAATGAGAACTAATTAATTGAAGTTTGCTAAAATTCTAAATTCAAATTCAAGCCAGAGATATATAAATAGAGCTTCACTACTAGCACTTTATTCACTGCAGAGCTTATAGTTCACAGAGATTAAAGCCTTTGGTTGGCTCGGGTTCACTTGGGATTGTTGTGGGTTTCTTAACCAATTATTCCACTAATTCTGAGAAGGATGTGAAAAATAAGCGAGTATAACTGTGTTTCCTGTTTCTAGTGTGAGTATCATATGGTTAAGGGAAAGTTTTAAGTTTACTTCAAGAAAGTGTTTTGAACAGATTTCATAACAGTAAAGCGTAGTTGCTTAAATTTATTGGAGTAGACTGAGAAGCACATTTAAAAGTTTAAGCTGACGTAATTTGTTTGTCAAAGTGGGATTGTTATGTCCTATAGAATTTCCATTCAGAAGCCAAAATGATTAGTCTCATTGATGGCCATGTTAACATTGAAGGATCATTGATTCCTTAATCTTAAGGAAGAATACAATTTTAATCCCCTGAACCAGCCTTGTGTTGAATCCTAGGTGAATCCAAAAAGTAACTCTCTTCTAAAGACAGTATGTGGGAAAAAATCTTTGGTCAAGGATTCTTGCAATACTTTCCTGCCAAAAGCACCTAACTGCCAAAGGATCTCTACTAATGGCCAAAGCTTAAATTCAAACTAAATTGCCACAAGAGGAACTAGAGGGGCTAGGCCACTGCAAATGAAAAAAAATTCCCAAAAAATCAATGCTGACATTTTCCATGTTATATCACTGTGCAAAGCATGTTTATATTCGTCTTGGAGCTGCTAGAACACATTCAGGGTGATAACTCTGTGGAAAAAGTAGTAATGTTATTTCCCAATTTGCAATGCTAGTAGTAATGTTTGTATTCTTTTTGGAGCTCATAAAATACAACATAAACATAAAACAGCTTTATTAGGTTAATTAGTTTGAAGCAAATTATGTGTTGATTCTATTCTATTGGCCTGTGCTGTACCGACAAAACTGTAAACCTTATCGTTAACCTTGAGCTTCCATAAAGCACCATTAGGAGTAAGAAAATTGAGGAAGGATTTGGAGGAAAGTAGGGTGTGTTTGGGTGACACCCCAAACCATGGTTTGGGGAATAATCTACCCAAACAGCCCCTCCAAAAACCAAAACCATGGTTTTGGGTCAAAACCATGGTTTTGGAAAAAGCAAAATTTTTTTGCTTTTGGAGAAAAAAGGGAGAGTGTGAGGGCCTATATGATATGTATCTTGTTATTTTTTTTATAAACATATTTTTTATAAATATATTTAATCTTATATTTTATAAATATATATACACATTAATTATTTATTAATTATATTATCTTATGTATTATTAATTATGTTGGTAAAAAACATATTATTAACAATTTTATTCCTTCAAATTAAAATATATCATAAAATCTATTTTTTCTGTAATTATCATATTAACTTATGTCTTTTTTTTAGTAATTTGTATATATAAAAAGTGCTTCTGATAACAATTATCCAAACACTCTCACTTCTCAGAATCACTTTTTTACAAAATCTATTCTTCACAGAATCTATTTTCCTCAGAATCTATTCTCCAGAATCACTTTTCCAAACCACGGTTTCGTTTCATCCAAACACACCCGTAGTGAGGGTAAAGTGGGAAGGTGGGAGAGAGAAGGATGAGTGAATAGTCTGATATGTATTCCATTGTACTGAGTGTCATATATATACAGAGATACAGTCACGTGCCTCAACTAAGTTGGCTAACTAAGTCTAACCAAGTCAGTTAAGTTGCATCAGATTACATAACAGAGTTACTTAACTACACTATTAAGTAAAATGGGAGATTGCAAAGATCACTTAGTAGTTGGAAGGTGGGATTCACTACGGATATGAAACAGTAGAGCAATATCATTAAAAACACTGTAAAGGTTATGAGGTGTGGAAATTCCATTTATAATGGACCCTTGTTAAATTAGGAATTTCAAAGGTGGTGGTGCATGATGCAAAGCTGATAGACAATAAAGTTTGGGGAAAATCTCGGTAAAAACTGAAGACCCAATCCACTGGTCCTCCAAAAACCTAAAGCTAAAACCATTGGAGAGTACTTATTACTACAGGGTAGTTATATGTTTTGTTGATGAGCCTATATTTGTTGATCTGCTGAATTAATCTGGTTGATGCTGGACAAGTTATGCTGATGAGGTTATGATATGGATTTCTTGTAATATTTGGTGCCTGGTAGAGAAATGCCAAACCTTTTAAGGATAAATATTCGTTTTTGCCAATTCTATTGGCTGTTTTGTGTTTTTTCCATTTTTTTTTAATTCCTTGACTTCTTTAGTCTACAGTAAGAGGATGCCTTATTCTGGTTTGTCCTTTTCTACTCCAATGTCAACGAAATTTCTTCATCTATTCAAAACCAGTATTAATGTGACCGTGGAAGTATTTAATGTGATCAAGATTCCTGAATCGGTAGTCTATATGAGAAAATTTATTAGTTTCTGATCAGACTTATAAAGATTATTCTCAATAGTAGTTTCTTTCTTTTCCTTGTTACAGATATGTTCTCTTGAAGAAACGACTGATGAGTTAGCCGATCGATGCCAGAAACTATACAGAGGGTGCAAGAAATTTATGTAAGCTTTTGATATATTTGTCTTAGGTAATAGATCTATTGTTGTGTTTGCCAAGTCACTCCCCGGGAATGTCATATCATGATTTTTTGATGGTTTATATATTTACTCTTGACCTTTAATTCATGATTTAATGGTGGTTACTTACTTTTCTCACCTCTCACCTAAGATCACTATTGATATGCTCCTATATACATTATGAATATTTTTATGTATGTGTACGTATTGTTTGGTCATTTTCTTTTCTCCATATCTTTTGTGCTTCTTTTATCTCAACAAAGCGCAAGGGGGGACAAAATGGGGATCTGGGAACTAGATCGCGAGATCCAGCTGGACAAAATGTGTGGTAGTCAGACTTCCAATGAGATATCTTTCATCAAATCCAATATCATTTCATTGCTTACCATTCTGCTGTAGCTATATTTTTACTTGCTTTAAACTAGATAGACGGTCAGTTATCATTGGGAGTTGAGCTATGACCAGTTGCAAAAAATGATTTTGAGGAAAATTCTTCCGTATTTAAAACTTTTATGACTATTGTTGGCTGATTATTAGAATCATGTCTGGATATTTTCATGGGTTTGGATTGTTTGTTTCCTTGCCCTACCAAATTTGATCAGATGATAGCAACGATATAATATTGAAGTTTCTCCTAATCATTAGGATGAATGCATAAGCATTAAATTACTCAGTAGTTCTTAAATGTTCAAGCCCAAAGTCTAGCAACAATCATGATCGTCAATGTAAATTTGACTTTTCAGCAAGGTGTTATGAAAAGTAAAGAAAGAGAGAGAGAGAGAAGGGAAAGCGAAGAGAAACAGAGAGAATAGGGAAAATTAGAGAGAAGGGGGAGAGAGTAGAAGGCAATAGACAGAAGAGAAAGAGAGTTCCACTAGGTTGATCACAATACAGCACACTTACAAATGAGAGATAAGCCTGTTTATATAGGCAAAGTCCAGCTGCTAGTAACTAACTATTATTCTAACTAACTCATAATTCTGTTATTTATTTATTATAATATCATATCAATACCCCCCTTCCCAAAGACCCTTGCCCTCAAGGGTCAAGGTACACAAAACCTTGCATCAACCTAGAGCTTTGAAGCATTTTGATTAACTTTCCCCTGAACCATATCCGAATTAAAATTCTTGTAGGGAAAACTTGAATATGAGAAATCCATTGCAGCAACGAACTTGGGCCCTTTTCTTGAAAGATAAAGCCCATTTGCTTATCTGATATTACCAAATCCAGTGTACATCCAAAATGCTTCTGCTGCTTAAACAAAGTGCAAGCCAGCTGTAATCCTCTATACGAAGGAATAGTGCTAGCTGTAGGCTGAACAGTGCTGGAAACAGGGTAATTTATCCAAAAGTTGCGTCTGCATCTCACCAACTGGGACCCACTGTCATTTGATGACTGTTTCCTATCCTCACACCTGTCTATGAGGTACCAAAAAGCCTGTAAACCTCCAACAAAGTGAAATATGGAAGACCTATTAACACCAGATGGCATTTTCACATTGTTTCTGGTCAATAGAGAGACGACACTTGAAGAAAGTGAAGAAGCCGAGTCCATCTTCGAAGAAACAGAGCCTGAAATAGGGTCAATGGGTTTCAAAACCCTTCCAGCTGCTATTCTCACACTTTCCCGCGTTCTTGGAGCTCGCCACTCAAAATTAATACCACGCAGGTAAAGCCCAACTCCGTTCGTACAAGTCTGTAAGCCTTTGTTCTTCGTTGTCGCATGCAAGAACATCTGCATGGACACCCCAAGGTCATTCGAACTTGTCTTTGCTTCTTTGTTTTGCTCCATTGTGCGCGACATAATTCGTCCTGAGCCATAAGTTGCGAGCCCAAAGCTATTTGTACCTGTTTTTGTGTTGTTAGTCTCCCCTGACGCACTCGACGCACCTTGGGTAGGTTCAAGAAGACCCAGACTTCTTGTTCCTGTGATGTTGCTGTCTTCACAAACATCTTGAGGACTCTTCTGTGGTTGGCCGTTGACACCGGACGATTCTTGCATTTCAAAGAATACCTCTTGGGCCTCGGGCTTCTTGCGCTTCCATTGCAACGTGAGCTCCTGCATTCTTGCGAGGCTTTTGGCTTCGCGCATCGTCCGAGGCATGAATAGACGTACTGGTCCAGCATAGTCGTCTTGCAGCGCCGAGATGTAAGCATCAACCAACCATTCTTCAGGCAATGAGATTTTGGAGGAAATTGCATCAAATTCAGAATTAAATTCTGCCAAGGACCCTCGATGTCGAAGACGGAGCAGGTCCTTTTGTCTTATGATTTCTTGCAGCTGCGTGGACAAGCCAAGAAGGGCCTCTTTTAATTTATTGACGGAGCCTTGTATTCCATCGACTGAATTCAATTTTTGTTCGATGTTGAGGAGACGTTCCTCCATGGAACTTGAAATTGATTGGGAATGAGGGAGAAAGAACCGAGTAGTGGGTAGAGCCGAGGAAAGACCGGCTCTGATACCACTGTTATGAAAAGTAAAGAAAGAGAGAGAGAGAGAAGGGAAAGCGAAGAGAAACAGAGAGAATAGGAAAAATTAGAGAGAAGGGGGAGAGAGTAGAAGGCAATAGACAGAAGAGAAAGAGAGTTCCACTAGGTTGATCACAATACAGCACACTTACAAATGAGAGATAAGCCTGTTTATATAGGCAAAGTCCAGCTGCTAGTAACTAACTATTATTCTAACTAACTCATAATTCTGTTATTTATTTATTATAATATCATATCACAAGGACAATAGATATTTTAGCTTCAAAATAAATGCCTTTTTATTAAATGAAAGTTTGCAAATGAAAATAGACTTTAAGATATTTTTTTAGCAAAATAACGGCATCCATATTTTTTATGTTTCTTATTTGCAAGTAGTACTTATATGATGCTGGGTGTGTGTGACGTGTCATGGATGGAAGATCTTTCTATTTTAGTTGGTTAAATTAAAAGAAAAAGAAGTTTGGTCTTTCATCTTACTTCGAATTTCTGTGTGATTTTAGTAATGAAGATTCTGGGTAAATGACTGTGGTGGCTAGAACTGTGTCTTTTTAGTCCTCTACACCAATCAAACTAGTTGTTGGACTGACACAAAGTTGTTAATTCTTTGTTCTTTTTACCATCAGGGCAGCTTTAGGAGAAGCTTATAATGGAGACATTGCCTTTGCTGATGCATTAGAAGTATTTGGTGGGGGGCAGGATGATCCTGTTAGTGTATCAATTGGAGGTTGTTGGGAATGCATTATCTTATATCGTTTTATTTCTCTTTTGCATGAGCGAAAAAGAAACCAAAAAGGCGTTTCTCTCATAAAGTAATCAGTACTATACTATTAAACCCACTAGTGATTTTGTTTGATATCCTGTCTATACCAAGTTTTGGTGATGAAGCACCATTTTTTTTAGTTTAAAAAAAAAAAAAAGAAAAAAAGAAACAAAGAATGATGTGAATGGATGTGCATGCACTTTTTTGCTGTAGGCATGTAATTATGCAGTAACTCTTACCAACCATCGTTGAATCGTTCATGGATACAATAATGGTCGGTATTAAAGTTGAGTGTGGTATGCTTTTAACTGTATTATTTTCTTCCAGGACCTGTCATATCTAAATTTATTGGTGCACTTCGTGAACTTGCATCTTTTAAAGAGCTTCTCCGGTCACAGGTGAGTCCCAGAATCCGCATGATTCTCTCTAGATTGTGAATTCTTAACAATGATTGAAACAAGTCTTAATTTGGGCACGTTTTACCCCGGGCTGGAGGAAATGATTTTTCTGTTGGAATGCAATATAGAATTTTCTCTTCATTCAGCTATTTGAAGTTCACTTTCTGCCAATACTTCTCTGGAATATTCCAGTATTGAGTGATTTCCAATTTCACTCATTTCAAGTTATGGATGAGTCCTTTAATTTGGACAAAGCTGCTGCATTCTTCACTGTCGAGTGTGATCTCTTCACAGCATCACACACATCCTTGTCAGTCTGACAGAGGAGAAAATTATCTCCAATTTTAGTTTACATTGAATTTACCATCCATGATTTGATCATATTGGTCTTTGCCCTCCATACCCCATTTCTGGGGCATGAAAGTTTTGGTTCAATGGCCTCATCAGTGATGTATTCCACCTTGCCTTTTCCATGATGAACGTAACAATTCCCTGGGACCATTGTAGATGACTTATTTTCATTGAACCTATGATTTCTGGTCTTCAATAGAGTACTGTTGGTAGCCATGGAACCAGAATCAGTTTTGAGGTGCTGGATGCTTCTGAGTCAGGATTCAGAGTCCCTCTGTGAATGGCTCTCATTGAGTTGGATGTGGTCATCTTTGTGTTGTAAAACCAACTCTAATACCATGTAGGAAATCAGAGAGAAAAGAGATACCAGAGAAAATGTTTCTGTTTTTATGTGTTATTATTCAGTCAGAAGGTGCAGAGACATTCAGGGAATCAGTAGGATAGGCTAGCCACAAACCAACCACTCAAATCCAATCAAATCTCAAGATAATAGGATAGTTACAATAACAAAACAACCTTCCTCTAATCTCTACACGATCAAGGACAGACAAGTGACGTTTGAACAGAACAAACAAATGGGATAAAATAAATGATTAAACTTACAATTAAAACTACTCATACTAGCACGTGTCTTTCTCTCCCCCTTTATCACGTTGAGTTTCAACAGCAAGACCCCCCTTACTCATGGTATCCCCAGGAACCTCCCTATTCCAACACTTCAGCTTCTCTTTCACAAGCTTCAGCTGTTGGATTAACTTGGATCCTTCCCTAGCTATGATAGAGCACTTCTCCCACTAAATTTTAATTTGATTTGGAGAAAAAAGAGAGGTCATGCTAAATCCAGTTATTGGATTTAACGGCCCTTTTAATTTTACTAGCCATTTTCTAAATGAAAAGATGGCCAGGAAAAGGAAGGAGCTATACTTTTATTCTTATTTATGGCTTGCTAAGTCTCCAAAGCCCAAAACGTTTTCTTGATAATGGATTTCTTGTGTCTATTATCAGTTGACAGAATTTTGGTTCAGGTGGAGCATGTGTTGATCGACCGGTTGGCGCAGTTTATGAATGTTGATTTACGAGATGCAAAGGTGTGTTTTCTTTCCTCTGCTGTTCACTTACTTTGTTAGCATGTTATTGTTTAAGTGCAAGCCATACTTTTGCTATACTTTTGTAAGAGCTATACTTCTGTTCTTGTTTTATGTTGCCTTCCGTAACTGCAAATCATTTATATACCCCAGCAATGGTTTTGGTTGACTCTTGTTTATTTTCAAGTTTTAAATGCATAAAGTGGGTGGTTGAAATTGAATTTTTAAAAGGTGATACTTCTGCTTTTCTTGAGTTTGTCTCTTTTGAAAATTATTTCTTTGCTAAAAATTATTATTGATTTCATTGTGTTCACTCACTTTCCATGCTTGTTTTAGGATTCTCGTGCTCGTTTTGACAAAGCTGTTCATTCATATGATCAGGTATAAAACAATTCTTTTGTAAAATGCTATAATTAATTTTATTGGTGTTTATATTTGAATGTATAATCCTAAAACTTGGTTATACAGGTTGATATTTCATAAGATCTTATTTGTCCCTCTGATGTTAAGATGATGCCAAAGTTGTGCTCTTGTGTGTTATACTTCCTAGATATGGATTCTTTCCTCTTTTTCCTCCTTACATATTCATAATGAGATGTATATTCATCCTTTTAAGTTTACTTTTGAGGCACTTTGTTATTTTCATCTTTGCAGAATCCCTCTGAAAGGGTTCACAATAATATTTAAATGACCATTTCTGAGTCAATCGTCTTGTTTGTTTCAGTTCCCAGACATTTTGATGGTAAATCTAAATGACCATGCATGTTTTGTTAGGATCACTTACCTTTTCACCTCTGGATCTGTTGTCATTACTTTCTTTTTTTACATAATGGATAATGAACCCCACAATGATGAGAGCCCCGGTTGACTCCAGTTATAACTAATGGTGATCTTTGATTTTTTTCCTCTCCCCTTAACAGGCAGATTTTTTTTAACAAAATATGCGACTGCCAAATTAGCAATACAAGTTTTCACTTAAGCGTCAAGTTAAGCTTGCTTAATTTTACTGTTGCTTATGCATCTAACTTCTCGTTCAAATTAGCAAGGAAAGTTGTACTTATAGAAGCAGTTTATTTCCCCCCACTTAAATGGCTCTTCTTGAAAGCCTTGGTTTGCTTGAGTCCTCCATTGCATACCACGCGCTTATCTTGTACTTAGTTGCCCAGTTCAGAACAGCAACTTATTATGGTTTCTAACAGTGTTCACTCGTCTATTTTCTCCAGGCACGAGAAAAATTTGTGTCTTTGAAGAAGAATACACGGGAAGACATTGTTGCTGGAGTAGAAGAGGTTTGTTGAATTGATTTGTTAAAGATTAGTAGTTTTTCTTTTCTTTTTCCCCCCTTCTCTCTCTTTTATTATTATTTTTTTTAAATTTCTGATTAGACATCACTTAGTGTTTTAACATTTCTTTTTCTTTCTTTCAAATCAATAGTATTTCTTTTATCTCTATGTATTTCCTTTTGCACTTAATCTAATATACAATCATAAAAGCAAATGTTGCTTACAATTGATTAATCAAGAGAAAAGAGAGAGATTTGGAAAAGTAGTTGCTTCTTATTCTTTCATTTATGTCTTGGTGACTTAGACTTACATTATGTAGATTAATATTTTCTCTATTTCATCTATGACAGGGTCTTCTGAATTCAAAGTCAGCTTTTGAGAAAAGTCGCTTTAATCTAGTATGCCTTCTACTTTTGTTGATCTTTTACGTGTCTTTGGATCAAACTTTCTTTGTCTTATGAACCTTCCTGTGGGATTTTAAGGACTGCAGGTAAACTCACTCATGAACATTGAAGTGAAAAAGAAGTATGAGTTCTTGGAGTCCTTTAGTGCAATAATGGATGCCCATCTTAGATACTTCAAGCTGGTATGTTTATTAATTGCCAATTTCTTTATTTGGGGATTTCCATTTTGTGGTGCTATGCTTAACCAGTTGGGTTTCTAATGCTACAGGGTTATGACTTACTGAGCCAAATGGAACCTTATATTCACCAGGTATATATATGGTTTACTTTCTCTCGAACAGTTTCAGTGTGATTGCTAGTGTAAATTGGGTTGGTGACTAGCGGACTAGGCTTTTACTAGGTGTACTGCCCTTCTACTTTATGACTAGAATTAGACACACAGGGGGATTATTAAGTTCGTGAATTCTGGCCTCTGATGACATTTTACTTATAGAGATTTTGTAGAAGACGTTGTGTTAAGGTGATTGTACAATCTGCAGCTAGCATACTGTCAGTAGAATAGATGTCATTTATGTTAATTATTTTTAACATATGATACAAGTAGAGGGCTGGAAGCATTATGTTTTTCACTTTAGTGGGTTGTTTCACACCCTTTGATAGTAAAATAGGTAATCTTTGACTAATTTTTCTTTTGTTTAACTTAGCCTGTGATCAAGGAGTAGAAAGAGCATTTGGGAATGGGATCACTATCTTGCAATGTTAGGTTCCCTGTTTTTCTATTTGTAATCACTCCCTCTGTTCCTTTTTATAACTTAAAATTGCCTACCTTACACATACCAATAAAACAGTTTTAACTAATATACGTCTTAAAATTTATTCCATCTTTCCACTGTCTTCTCTCAATCAATACTCAACATTTTCATCCATGGGAAAGGCTGCATATGTATTTTCTCCGAAGTGGGTCAACTCCTTTTATTCATTCATTAGGGGCATTTTAGGGCAAAATATTAATTACTGTAAATTGTCTTATATACAGGAAAATTTACTACCCAAAATTTTGTCTTATAATCAGAATCGGAGGAAGTATAAAATTAGGTCAAGTACAATGTGGTAGAACTAGTATAAGCTTAGGTCTCTTGTAACACGTTAATTAATCTAGCCACCACACTTCTAACAATTTTATTTTGGTCAATGTTGAAGTAATTTATCTTTTTGTCATTTGGTAATGGTAGTTGTTGTGGTTTGAAGATTGATAGCTCCATGAGGATAATGTATTAATTTTCTTCTTCTTGTTCTGCGTTAAGGTACTAACATATGCACAACAATCTAAAGAGCTGGCTAATGTTGAACAAGATAAGCTTGCAAAACGAATTCAGGAATATAGAACACAAGCTGAGCTGGACAACACACGAGCTTCTAGTAATGCTGATACTTTATTTGGTGCTGACGGCAGCCGTGTTGTTGGGTTGAACTCATACAAGAGCTCTGAAGTAGGGATCCAGTCTGTGCCCCAAGGTGAGGTAAGTAAATATGCTTTTGTAGGGTGTCATCAGTCAGCTCGCCTGCTTGTCTTGACTATTTTGGTTTTGCTCTTATTATCATGGCTTGTAACTGTTTTACTTTTGTGTTAGTAGTGTCAAACAGTTAAGCAAGGCTATCTGCTAAAACGATCCTCAAGATTGCGTGGAGATTGGAAGCGGAGGTTTTTTGTGCTTGACAACCAAGGGAGTTTATATTACTATAGAGCGAAGGGAGCCAAGGCTATGGTGATTACCTCCCCTCCCCACTAGTTATTCTGTTGACTGTTGAATTGATGGGCATTGATCGAGTTGAATTTGTTTTAGAACCACCATACACTAAAATCTACAAATTCCCAAATATCCTTGCTGGTAATACAATTTGTAAGAATGAATTTCTTGATAGAATTGACCGGAAGTTGTGGAATTTGCTGATGCTTCTGTACCCATAATTTTTATTTCCTTTTATTCCAAGGGCTAGCTTTTGTCTGAGGTTCATCCTTTTCCATTCAGCTAAAACCTATCCACACCATATTTTTCCACTCTAGGAAGTTGGTTTTGTCTTCATCTAACTTTTTGTATCCATAGTTTTGGATGTGTTAACTATCTTCAGACACAAATGTCTTAGCTTCCAGATCTATAATATCATCAAAGTGCCCAATGCACATTACAGTCCTAAATTCTCACAACAAACAACAAATGAGCGTACCACACCTTAATATCAGATGGACGCTGGAAAATGCTTCAAAGAATCATCACTTAATCTAAACAAGCTTTGATGGGAAAAAACTGCATCTGCATTGATCCAAAACGAGTTTGCATAATTCCAATCCAAACACAGGATCAATCAACAACATCAAGATGGTGTATTTATGAAGTAAAATGAGTAGTTTTTTTCTTTGGAGTTATACTAATTTTTTTCCTTCCAAATTTGATTCCAGGGCTCTCAATCATATAATTATACTAGATCAACTGAACAAAACAGTGGCATGTTTGGGAGATTCCGCTCTAGGCACAACAGGGCAGCATCTCTTAATGAGGAAATTCTAAGTTGCCGTGGGGTTGATCTGTGCACATCAACTATAAAGATGGATGCAGATGATTCAGATCTTCGACTTTGCTTTCGCATAATTTCCCCATCCAAAACATACACACTGCAGGTAATTTATTTCATCAGGTTCACTTTTGATTTAATATATTTGAGTGGCTCATAAAATAAGTTTCTATCATATGTTTTTAGTTTATTTTGACCTATTTTAGTTAAAAATAGCCATTTGATTCTACACTTTTTGGAGTGGTAGCTTTGGAACAACTCAGCTATTTCCCAAGAGCTTTGGCTTTGTCTCAGTACATTCCAAATTGTCCTGTTTATGTTTTGGAATGAGTAAGGAGTAGGAATCGTCAATTGGCCTTTACATAAGCTAGAATTAAAAATGCCTTCGTTCATGGAAATGTTCAAGAAGAGGCTCACATAGAGCAACCAGCTTGGTGCATATGACATGTATGCTGCAGTTTGACGGGAGCATGTTGGAATGGTATATTGTTTAGATTATGTAGAATATATAGTCTCTATTCTAACTGTATTACGTATTGGTCACTGTGCTAGTTGTACTATAATAACAACAACAAAGCCTTTTCCCACTAGGTGGGCTAGTTGTACTATAGAGTTAGTAAACCTGTATAGCTCTATGAATAAGATAGAAACTCGAGGAGTTATCTACTTACGCATCCCAAGCAATTGTCTTTTTTCCTTCCTAAATTGCTTAAAAAAATATTTTATTTTATGTAGCTAACAAAGGGATAACACAGTCTTTTCTTGAACTTGTGATGTTGCATCTTTTAGATTGCATACCTTTACTAATGTTGTAGAAAACTTGGTTTTCTGATCTATTTTAATTCTAGTTTGTCTTATTGTTAGTGGATTCTCTAACTTCATTTTGATCAGGCTGAAAATGAAGCTGATAGGATGGACTGGGTAAATAAAATTACTGGAGCTATTACATCACTGTTCAACTCTCAGTTTCTTCAACAGGTTCTCTTCCAAAATGTTTGAAAGCATGACTGTGTGCCTAAATGTAGCAGATACTAATGTGAAAGCCTTTCAATGTGATTTCTGCAGCCTAATCGGGTTGGATTGCATCAAGAAAATGAGAAATCAGCCATCAGTGCTTCATGCAATAGTCAATTGCAGCATAGCCATGGATCTTTGACTGAAGACATATATTCCAATGAAGTGGAGAGTGTGTCTAAAATTTTGTGGGGCATTCCTGGAAATAATAGGTGTGCCGAGTGTTGTGCAACTGAACCGGACTGGGCATCTCTTAACCTGGGAATATTGCTGTGTATTGAATGCTCTGGTGTTCATCGAAATCTTGGAGTTCACATATCAAAGGTTTATTCTTTCTAAAAGACATGCAAATTATTTATTCCTCTAGTGTTTTTACTTTTTTTTTTTTTGGGGTAAATGGGCCTTTAGGAATAGTTATTTTCCATATAGTTTTGTTACTTGTACTGAGCAAACTTTCCTCAATAATATGATCTCTGCTTTGATATCAGCAATCTAGTATCATAAAGGTTATTGTATGTTTTTCTGCCAACTGCAGGTGAGATCCATAACATTAGACGTCAAGGTTTGGGAACCTACTGTTCTGGACTTATTCCGGAACTTGGGTAATGCATATTGTAATTCCATATGGGAGGGATTGCTACATGACAATGAAAGGTAAATATTTTACTTTCTTTAGGAAGAATACAGAAATTGCGGTAGAGCACTTATTATGGCTGTGACTTGGTAAATGCCTTGCTTTGTAAGAGTTATCCAACTTGGTTTAATGGAAAGAAAGTCTAAAGCAATTATACTTAGTCCTCTCTGATTCATCCTTGAATGATAATGTGGAGAGTGTTTTGACATTGAAACCGGTAAGAAGTGCCATTTTCTGAATTGATCTGGTGATTATAACCAAAGATTGGAATCAGGGATAGCTTGGTGGGCCGGAGAAGATGAGGGAATGGCCACAATGAACTATAGCTTCCAAATTTTCATTACCTCAGGTTGTATAGGCTCGAACTGGGATCATCGATGTTTCTTACTATTGGTGGTGTCATCACTGGCTCCAAAGATTTTCCCAAATTGATGGCTGCATAAGCAGGACCAAAAACGCTGTGTTCTACAGCGTGAATCCCATTTGCTTATTGTAATTTAGAGAATGAAAATTGTGTGTTTTATTGATACTTCGATTGGGTATTTATATACAATAGAGGAGCCTAGGTATTAATGGCTCATTACTATGAAATCATATCATATCGTATCCTATATACTAATTACAGGATATTTACATATCTCATAATATCTCCTATAATATCTCTACACTCCCCCTCAAGTTGGAGCATAGATGTCAATCATGCCCAACTTGTTACAAAGATATTCAACTCGAACCCCATTGAGAGCTTTGGTGAGAAGATCACCCAACTGGTCGCTGGATCTGACATGTCCTGTAGAGATGAAGTTTTCCTTGAGCTTGTCTCGGATGAAATGACAGTCAATCTCAATATGTTTCGTTCGTTCATGAAAGACCGAATTCGAAGCTATGTGTAGGGCTGCTTTATTATCACACCACAGCTTTGCTGGTAACGAGGTTTTAAGACCAACCTCTTTTAGTAGCTGGTATATCCAAACTATCTCACATACAGATTGCGCCATGGCTCTGTATTCCGCTTCTGCACTCGATCGTGACACCACATTCTGTTTCTTGCTTTTCAGGACACCAAGTTGCCTCCTACAAAAACACAGTATCCTGTAGTAGATCGTCTCGTGGCTTTCGACCCACCATGATCAGCATCACAAAAGCACTCAATGTCTGTGTGACCATGATTCTTGTACAATATCCCACGACCCGGGGATCCCTTCAAGTAGTGTAACACATGCTCTAAGGCTTCCCATTGTCGGACAGTTGGCGCAACCATAAATTGGCTAAGGACACTTACTGGATAGGTGATATCAGGACGGGTCACTGTAAGGTAATTCAACTTCCCAATCAGTCTCCTATACCTCTCTGGATTTTCACATGGTATGCTACCATCAGCATCAAGTAGAGGATTATAGACCATAGGGAAGCTGGTCGGGGCAGCCCCTAGTTTCCCAGTTTCTTTCAGCAGATCAAGAACATACTTTCTCTGAGTCAATAAGATGCCTTTCTTGCTCCTCATGACTTCAATTCCCAGAAAATACTTCAATGAACCCAGATCCTTCGTTTGGAAATATGAGTTAAGGAACGACTTGAGAGATGAGATCCCCGAGGCATTGTTTCCTGTAATCACAATGTCATCGACATACACAACCAGTAGGATCATGCCAGCACTTGTTTGCTGATAGAACACAGAATGATCACACTTACTCTGGTGCAGGCCAAAGTTCTTCACAACAGTACTAAATCTGTCAAACCATGCCCGAGGACTTTGTTTTAAGCCATAGAGTGATTTCTTAAGGCGACACACCTTCCCACGCTCCCCCTGAGCAACAAAACCTGGTGGTTGCTCCATATACACTTCTTCAAGGAGATCACCGTTCAAGAATGCATTTTTGATATCTAATTGATGGAGATCCCAACTATAGGTAGCGGCCATGGAGATAAACAGACGAACAGAAGAGAGCTTGGCCACAGGGGAAAAAGTCTCAGAGTAGTCAATACCATACTTTTGAGCATAGCCTTTTGCGACAAGGCGAGCCTTGAGGCGTTCAAGTGTACCATCCGCCTTAACTTTAGGGGTCAACACCCACTTACACCCAATAGCTTTCTTTCCTGCTGGTAAATCTACTAAGGTCCATGTGCCAGCACAATGAAGGGCCGCCATCTCTTCTTCCATAGCAGTACGCCAACCCGGGTGGGACAAGGCTTCATGAAGGGACTTAGGTACTGAAATAGTATCTAAAGAGGCAACAAAGGCACGAGAAACAGAAGGGAGGTGGTTATATGAAACAAAAGAAGAAATAGGATGGGCACAAGTACGTTTACCTTTGCGAAGGGCAATGGGCAAATCAAGGGAGGGATCTGGATCTGGAACAGGAGGTGTCTCAGAGTCAATTGAGGGATCGGCATCTAGACCTGGAGCAGGGTCAGGCTCAGGGTGCATGATGCTTGCTGCAGGATCAGATGACGAAGCAGATAATGGTGGAGCAGAATGTGGCGCAACAGTAGGAGTAGTTTCCTTCAAACGTCTGGTGTAGACCTGAGACAAAGGTGGTTGACCAGGTGCCAATACGGGAGCTGGTGCTGGTGGTAAGCTTGGACTAACAGAATATACCAGAAAGGTATCCTCCTCCGCCGGTGGAGAAGGTGAAGCGGAAGCATTAGATGCAAAGTAGGCAACAGATTCCTGAAAAGTGACATCGGCTGAAACCAGATAACGATTCAAAGTAGGAGAAAAACATCGATAACCCTTTTGAACTCGAGAGTAGCCAAGAAAGACACATTTAAGAGACTTGGGGTCCAATTTGGAGACCGTGGGACGCACATCTCGAACAAAACAAACACAGCCAAAGATCTTAGGATCAATAGGGAACAAAGCTTTGGAAGGAAAGAGAGTGGTGTAGGGAATGTTACCATCAAGGACAGAGGAGGGCATGCGATTAATAAGAAAACAAGCTGTGGAGACTGCATCTGCCCAGAATGGTTTTGGAACCTGCATTTGAAATAAAAGTGCACGGGCCACTTCTAATAAGTGACGATTTTTTCTTTCGGCCACACCATTCTGAGCCGGTGTATCCACACAGGAAGATTGATGAAGAATGCCATGTTGAAGCATAAAAGAGCGAAAGGATTCAGAAAAATATTCTTTAGCATTATCACTGCGCAAGGTGTGGACAAGCGTATTGAATTGAGTTTTAATTTCGGCAACAAAAGTACAAAAGTGAGAGAAAAGCTCAGAACGATTTTTCATTAAATATAACCAAGTGGTACGGGAATAATCATCAACAAATGTGACAAAATATTTAAAACCACCTTTGGACTCAACTGGACACGGACCCCAAATATCGGAGTGCACTAACTCAAAAGGGGACGAAGCCCGTTTATTGACTCTAGACACTAACGGTAGACGATGATGTTTAGCAAACTGACACGACTCACAATCTAAAGACGACAAATGCTGAAACTGAGGATAAACCTTTTTTAAAGAGGATAAAGATAAATGACCCAAACGACAATGTGCTTCAAATGGAGTGACACCACCAGTACAAGCCACCGCACGAGACCCCTGATCATCAAGGAAGTAATGCCCGCCAGATTCGTAGCCCCTACCAATAATCTTCTTCGTCAAAAGATCCTGTATCAAGCAATGGTCAGGAAAAAGTGAGACCCAACAATTTAATTGGCGAGTAAGCTTGCTAGGGGACAAAAGGTTAAAAGCAAGATTCGGGACATTGAGTACAGATTTTAAATGAATAGAAGGAGTAGGTTTAACAGTGCCAGATCCAAGGACACGAGAGTGGGAACCATCCGCAATGGTGATAGCAGAAGGGTTGGCATAAGAATTATAGCTAGAGAAGAGATGACGGTTACCTGTCATGTGGTCAGTAGCACCAGAGTCTATGATCCATTTGGAGGAAGAAGAGACAAGGGCAGTAGCCTCATTACCTGTTGCACTAGCAGTGCTCACGGGGGGATTTGCAGATTTCAATTGAGCATACTCGGCAGCTGAGATAGTAACCATGTCACTGGTTGTTGTGGCCACATGGGCAGAGCTCTGTCGTTGTTGTTTGTTTTGCAGCTTACGACATGTGCGTTTAGTATGTCCCGGTTCCTTGCAGTAGTAACATATCACTTCCTTGGGCTCCTGATTACCACCTCCTGGTTTCGGACCACTACGACTAGGGAGCCCTCGATTGTCATTCTGGCCTCGACTGAGTAATGCACTAGTAGGTGGAATGGGAGCTGAGGAAGGGTTTTGTTCAGTTCTCAGTACACGAGAGAAAGCTTCTTCAAGAGAGGGGATGTCAGCTCCGACAAAATTTGTGATCGAGCAGCCGCATATTGAGATGGCAGTGCAGTCAGAAAACTCATGGTGGCCATCTGCTCGCGGTGAGACACATTAACTTTCCTGTCATCAGAAATAGGCATAAGAACATTGAGCTCTTCATAGGTGCTTTTAAAATCCATAAAGAAATTTGTGAGGGAACGGTCAACTGGCATCTCGGACCGATAGAACGATCTGCAGACCTCGTAAATACGAGAGATGTTGTTCTTTCCTGAGTATAAGAGTGCCAAATAATCCATTAGTTCTTTAACAAATTCACAATGAGTAATAGAAGGCATGATCTCACTGTCAATAGAGTTACGAAGTTGTAACAGAAGCCGTGCATCATCTCTTAACCATGACTTGCGAGAGGCATCCTTTTCATCAGGAGGATTGTCAGTCAAGTGATCTTCCTTCTCAATGCTCCGAAAATAAATACGAATAGTCTTACTCCAATCCAGATAATTTTTCCAAGTTAGTTTGTGTTCAGTAATCTTAGTGACTACTGGAACCACCTCAGGAACAACAGACTTGTTATCACCCATTAGGATAATAATTATCACAACAACACTAATCAGTCAAATGGATCACACTAGGGACCACAGAATAAAAAGTAGATCAGAATTCCACAAACCAGAGCGCCAACGCTTTCTCAGGAAGCCAAAAGTGCTCTGAATCACAACCAAATAATGGGACCCAGGAAGTAGAAGCGGCAGGGAAGGGTCAGAACAGAAGCGACGGCGCCGGAAAACGAGAGAAGACGCCGGAAAAACGCTGCAACGCGACGGCGCGTGAACAGTGCAGCAGCGAAGGGTGACGGCGCGTGAAGGCCACGCGCTGCTCGGACGGCGACGAGACTCCGGTGGTTGACCGATCGGGACCCTGCGACCTCCGTTGACCGGCGCGTGTGCACTGTAGAGGACAGGAGGCTGGAGTTCCGTGAACAGTGTAGGGACGGTGAACAGTGCACTGAGCTGGACGAACCGGAAAAAAAAACGTTTTTTTTTTCCCCTAACCTAATAAACCTGCTCTGGTACCATGTAATTTAGAGAATGAAAATTGTGTGTTTTATTGATACTTCGATTGGGTATTTATATACAATAGAGGAGCCTAGGTATTAATGGCTCATTACTATGAAATCATATCATATCGTATCCTATATATTTACATATCTCATGATATCTCCTATAATATCTCTACACTTATTAGTGTTCTACTTTACGTCATGGTGGCTACTCTAATGAAGATAGCGGGACAAGTGTCAAGCAAATTGTTGAATGCTGCCTTGACAGCTGTGAATCTGAATCTAAGCAGCAGATTTAGTGGGTCTGACAACTTTATCGATGTTGAGAGATGTGTATATACAATGAAGAAGATTGGTAGCATGTTGACAAGAGGATGGGTCAATGGTGGTACAGAAAGGGTAAACGTGCTGCATAAGGGTGAGCCCTGTGCATTGACACGTAGAGGCCTGGTTTAGTATCAATATGGATTGCATCATCCAAGAAATATATTTGTACCTGATATAGCAGAAGGTGGGCTCTTTAACAATCTGATAGCTGGGCATATTGAGGGTGAACAGGAGGAGAGAAATTGAGAAAATATTGTAAATTGTTTTTCTTTATATTATTCCGTCAGTAGGCACCAATATAAATAGGACTAAAGGATACGTGTGATCCACTTAGTCCTTTTCTGATTTCAGACAAAGAGAGTACTTATTTAAGTCAAAAGTCCCGTCACACTGTAATAACAGGACAGAAACTGAATACAATTTAAAGGGAAGAAAAAGAAAATATCCTCAGTTAACTGAGAAAGGAAAAGAAGCTGTTGATGTGCTAGGGTTATCAGCTGTGCAGCATGGGATTTCAGCATCTGTATTACAAGTTTTAGCTCTGATCCGAAAGTATTATGGGCTAGGTACAACGTGGAGGGTGACCCTTTCTATTATTCACTGTCTTAACCACGCTCTATTACTTCCTAACCCCTTTCCTATGCTGCTTCTAGCATACGCATTTGTTGGGCAATAACATGCATCATCACCTTTTAATTATTGAATTGACCGAGATTTGAGAATTGTTATTGTTTTTCATTTTTATCCCTTTCCAGTTTAGCATCATTGACTTGAGAATAATCCTTTTTTGCCCGGACAACTATCTGCAGGAAAAATGAGTCAAATGCACCAATTAAACCATGCCCCACAGACGCCTTCCAAGAGAAGGAAAAGTACATCCATGCGAAGGTTAGTACTGGTACTTTTATTTCACGGTGGATGTGCATGGTTCTATTATCTGCTTTGGAAGAGACGACTTTGCATGTTAGGCATGTGACTTCTTTCAATGAGTGAGAAAGCATATTGTTGATTTAGTTTCATTTCTGTTCTTAAGAATCTTAGTTCATTCATTCAATGACTTCCAATCATAGAACACATAAAAATAAAGTAATAATATGATGTTGTCATGTTGATTTTAGTAAAGACACGTATCTGTAAACATTCCATTGAATCACCTTTTCTATTATGAGTGAGTCTAGGAGCTTGTTTGAAAGTTTTCAGTACAGTGGACGTGGAGTGGTCATCAATAGGATGGGTCTGTATTCTGGAATTTGAAGCTTCCATTTAAAAAGGGTTGGTAACCCATTCCACTTTGGAAGTTATCTTGTCATATATGGGAGCCGGGTGTGAACCTGATGAATAAATCTCCGGTATTTCTTTAATTTGGAGGAGCCGGGAAGATTGGGTTGGGAATCTGATGTGACATGAGGAGGGGGGGGAGGGGAAGAGAGAGAAAAGGAGAAAAGAGGAAGAAAGAGGGAGGAGGCTAAAAAATATGGGATGCTTTATTCATTCTTTCTTTTTTTGGCCCTACTTTATTCAATCAAGTTTAGTCTGCTTGCGATGAGAAACCGTAGGATTATGTATAGAGTGATAAAATATTTAAAATAATTCAAACCCTAAGAAAAAAGTAACAAAGATAACCAGATAATATAGACGACCTTGACATATTATTCTGTTGAAAATAAATAAAATCTAAAATAATTCTAAGAAAGATAAATGATAAGGAAATCCAATTAAATCCCTATCAGCATAAGAGGTATTCGATATATCCGTATTCAAATAATCCTAATAAAATGATCCCAAATATCTGAGATAACCCTAATTTTATCGTATCCCATATTCCATCAAAATCCTTCCTCAACATTAGTTTACTTTCTTTCCCCACCTTACTCAAATTCATTCCATCCTCCTTTACAAGCTTTGCAAATTTATTGACAAGGAATTTAATTATAAGCATATAATATAGGATAGGATGATCAGTTTTAATTTCTAAGAGAAGTTGAAACGAATACTTGGTGTTTATTTTTATGGAAAAATCATGGACGAGAAACTTTCTGAGTACTTTCATCAGATTGCTAGTCTCTGTCATCCTTTTTTTCTCTGCTCCCTTTTTGGCCAAAGAAGAAAATCTCACATGGCAATTCTTTCTAGTAGTACATCAATTTTGCATGTTTCCACCCATGTTCTGTTCAATTCCGATTTGGAAGTCTATTTACCACCACAGCTTTTGCCAGTTTCTAAATATTTTTGTATAACCTTACTATAAACAGTACGTGGAGAAGTCACTAATCCATAAAGAGACTGTACCCGGGAGCCCTTCTTTTGCCCTAAGAATCTGGCAAGCAGTTCAGGCTTTGAACATACGAGAAGTGTATCGCCTCATTGTCACTTCAGATGAAACTCTGGTAAACACCAAATATGATGATATCGTTCACCATGCTGAGGCAGAAAATTTGGATTTAAGATGTAGCGCAACTGAAAGCCAAGATCCTGATAATCATGTGAGCTGTCTCCAAGGTTGTTCACTGTTGCATCTGGCATGTCATTCTGACAGTGACCTAATGGTTGAGTTGTTGCTTCAATTTGGTGCCGATGTAAATGTGCGTGACTCCCATGGAAAGACTCCCTTGCACCATTGCATTTCTAGAGGGAAAAATCCTTTGGCAAAGCTTCTACTTCGACTTCGAAGGTAAAACTATCAAGCAGTTTTGGCTTGATTTCCTTCCTCTCTCATCTACCAGAAATTTTGTTGAAAGCCAATACTACTTAATTCCTTTACCAAATTAAAATTGAATTTTATTTCATAGATGTCCGAGACCATTGCATGGCTTTTCATAATTTATATTTCATGATACACGCTTTATGAGAAAACTTGAAACAACGTGTATATAAATCAGGGGTGCAAGACCTTCCATTAAAGATGGTGATGGGTTCACTGCACTTGAAAGAGCAATGGAGATGGGAGCAATAACTGATGAAGAGCTATTTATTTTGCTAGCCGAATCCGCTTAAAAATGGAAATGGTATGTAACGTGTTAAGGCATGTTTGGCAGTTTGCTGTTCAATTCCTCGAGAATCACAAGTCTGATGATGTCTTGTGTTTTGGCATGCACAAGAATAAGTGGGAAATCTGGTTTTCATTGGGGTTCAATTTATTTAGGTGCATCCTTGCGTTGGACCGCTGGATTCGTATATCAAGAAAAGCAAATCTCTTGACCTCGGACGCCTTGAGTGAACCTGATTTAGGCTGTGTCTTTTCGTTTATATATAGCTGTTTAAACTTGTAAATCACATGCTGCTTTAGGCTTATTCTTATTATCGATCTGCAACTCAAGGGTATTGGTTGATACTTAGGTTTGTTTATGTTGTGATACCTGAAATTGTAAGAAAAATTGTAACCTGTATCGCATATTCTTTTATGGTGAACTGTGATACTTTCTTTTTGGGACCAGAAGTGAACTGTAATACTTAGTGCATATATCTTTACGTTCGCCAGTTGCAGACCATGTTTGATTCGACGCCGTTCTGATAGGCCGAGAAAAATTTTCAACGTATTTAGCATGCCCTGAATCTTTTGCCCATACTTTTGAAATCATACTTGTATCTGACTTCCGAACTCGCAGCTTCATGGTTTTCGAAGCGTGTTGGCCTCACATTACAAGTCATCGTTCCATTCTTTATGCTTCACTCTGAAACTGAACATGTATATGTATTTATTTGGTAAACTGAATCAATAAAGATATTAGTTTACAATGTCAAAGATGAATTCTATTTGCCCTAAAAGGATATCGATGAATTTTGAACATTTTTTATTATTTATCATGCATGAAAATAAAGTCTTGCGCTATGGCTGCACAATAATGTATTGACGCGTAAAAAGGCCATAATTCTGTCAGAATTAAATGTCTTATGCATCAAACTCTCATTGAGTGATATTTCATTTAATTAAATTATCCTAAATGAACTAGATATTATTTTGTAATTGACAAAATAAATTATACTCACTATTAATTTTAAATATATAAAATTTAATGTTAAAATTTTATAAACTTGCCTGACCCCACTGATTAAGGGGTGTTTGGGTTAGCGTCTGGCTACCCAACTGATCCAATATAAAAAGATTAAATAGATGTGAGGGTGAGTTATGGGTAGGTATGTACAGGTCACGTATGAAAAAAATTCAAAACTTTACGTATGGAATATATATATAGATGCAGGAAAAAAGGGAAATAGGGATATGTGTGTATAATTATGTATATGTATTTACGCACACTGGTTTATATGAAAAATGAATAAACTTGACTATTAACCTAAGGGTGGACGTAGCCCGGTCTTCATTAAGGGCCCACGCCTGTCCGGATTAGGACGTGGAAAGTTCTAAACCTTTTTAATGAATAGACCAAACTTAAGACCTATTTGAAGTCCTGCCGGTTTAAATAGGCCAGACATTTGGTTTGAAGCTCGTCTCTCGAGGCTGGCCTGTTTGCAGTGAAAAGGGAGCAAGAAAATAAAACGAAGGGGATTTGGTTGACGTTGATTGAGAGGAGGAAATGCCCGTTCATCCCTGTTTGGCTGTTTGTTGACCCATCCACCACGAAAACATTTTCCCCCTCAACATTGCAAACGGTGCCGTATAAACGTAGCGGAGGGCACAGGATGATAACGGCAGGGAAGCCCGACCCATGGTGATCCCTCTCTCTCGCGTCGTCAACAGCTCCTGTCACGCACAGTCACCCTTCTCTACTCTCACAGTCGCCGTTCAACCTCTCCGGCGTTCTTGTTCTCCATTCTTGTTGTCGTCGGCGACTCAACAGGTAGCGTTCGAGTCTTTCTAGTTGTGCGCTTGTCTTTTTGTCTTCGATATGACGCTTCAGATTTTCATATCTCAGCGATTCCCTTTCGTATGAATCATTTCTATGAGATTTGGGCTGGACAAACCTATTTTATATGAATGAACATGCATTCCATTTTTTTATTGGGATTCTTTTTAATTAATTCCCTGGCCGGCATCTGCTGTACTCTACTCAATTTTGGGAAAATTACGGTTTTTTTGTGGTGCCCCAGTGGCACTTGGGTGACTTTGTGCTATTTTAGATTGCTTGATACGGCTTGTTGCCTACTTGGTTCGAGCTTTTTTGATTGAGAGGGAAGTAATGGAAATTATTCTAATTCTTCGTACAGTTATGCTGATTCCTTTTATTTGTATTCCTTGCTTATGTTCAGTCTTCTTTTTTCCTTTTTCTAGTTAGTTGCTTGGTAGTCTGTTACTTCTTTTTTATGCATTTATTATATATATATATATATATATATATATAAACAGTAACTTAACACGTATTTATGCATTGAATTGTGCTGGCAAAATACACACACACGCACACGCAACTAGATGTTTTTTAATCAATACATATATAGTTAAATGTTTTGACATGACATATTTTTCATTCACAGTATATATAAAAATATCAGGATTCAAGAATGTAGTATCATTTTATTCATTCACAACTTGCGTTCTTCCTTTTTGATAATTATAACTCTTCTTTTTTCCCCCAATCAATGATGGTATTCTTCTCGTTGACTACTAAGTACTGAATCAAACAATATAAATGTATATGTCATTGTATGTAGATTGTTTTATTGTTATGTTGTATTCTAATGGGATTTTCTTCTTCTTTTTTTCTTTTTTGCATTCTTGAATTTTAGATCAAGTATGTCAAAACTTTGATGAAGATATCATTACAACCCAAAAAAAAAAAAAAAAAAGAATTTTCTGTAAGTTTTTGAGTCATTTTGAAATATTGTAGTGGTAAAAAATAATGATACAAATGTTTAAAACATGTGGCATTGTAAAATATAGTACTTATATGAGACTGTTTGCTTATTTATTTATTTTTCGTTTTGCATTATGGTTTTCAAGACCAACGAGTTTTTTCTTTTGGCCTGAGGATCAACGAGTTTAAAATCCATGATTTAGTGGCTGGGCGTCAGAGGGGGGAAAATGCATATGATGTAGCAAACGATTAAGGCTTTATCGTGCCAAACAAAATTATGCACTAACTAACAAGTTCCAATGCTTCGAACAAGATATATAACTTCTTACATTCAGGAAACGTTGATCACTCAACTAGGATTCGTGACGTACCCTTCAAATTCACGGGCTTTTATAGCTTCTATGTGTAATGTTCATCTTCAAGAAGCTTTGCTACAAATGGCCCTTATGGGCCCCCAAATCAAGTTCAAAGGTACAATCCATCTTGAATGAGTGTGTGAACCAAAGGGCCACTAGAGAAGGGCAGAGAGTGCATGCCCACATGATCAAAACTGATATTTGCCATCTGTATACCTTAGAA